ACAGTTACCTGTCCTAATCCTAGTTACCCAAAAAAAAAACATGTGTAGGCGGCGCCTCATTAAATATCCAAAGCTTAAATAATACACGAGCCTCGACAAAATAGCAGACAGACAGACAAACAAACAAATAAATAAATAAATACATCCAAACTTGGCAGGGCCAGGACCTACGGGTTCAGTCCACAAATAGAAGCTAATGAAGGAAACATTTGCGACCCACAAAAAAAAAAAACCTAAGGGAAAAACAACTAGAAAACAGAGCTTCCGTTGACTGCCTTTTGCAATTTTTATTTTTCATAAATTCTCAAAAGCATGTTTGCCAGCTCATAAAAACGCAGCGCACACATACCGCCGCCTGCTTTTCCCTAGATTTTCGGCTTCCTCGGAAAAGCCGAGAAAGCCAAGACCAAGTGGCTCATAATCTGAGCAATTTGCTAGCGTTTTATGTGATTTTTGTAGCTAGTATTAGTGGCTGTAAAGCGCACACCCCAGATGAGACAGTACAAGTGACACTGAGTGTGTGTGTGTGGAGTGTGTGTTTACTTTCTGCATCATTTGTATGCAAATTGAAAGCGTCTTGTTCGTAGCATACTTTCCAGGGCGCTGCAACTCTTGAAATTGAAATTTTAATCAATCTTCGCGCGTCTAATGTTTGTCAACATTTGACCCAAAATCAATTAAATTAAATTATTTCGAAGACTAAGAGAGAAGTCCCTCCTAGTTGCCCCCGTTGATTGGCAACCAGCCAGGGGGGAGTCACAAAAAATTATCCAATTTAAAAGTCAAATGTCATTCTTTCGTATTTCCTTTTCCGTTTTTTTTAAGACATGCCTTTTTTGTTTGTTGCTGCTGCTGCTGTGTGTGTGTTTTTTTTTCCTGACGCCATTGCCAGCCAACACATAATGTGAATTACCTAACAAAGGTGCCGCTGCTGATGAGTTGACGACGACGAAGACGAAGGACTCAGCTTCCAGGAAGAAAAAAAAAGGAGCAGAAGGTGTCGCGCTGCCATTTCCATTCCAGCCTCTTGGGATGCCCTTGCCAAAAGGTGTGGAAACTATGCTGGTTTTCCCTTCTGGGAAGAAAAATATATATCTGCTAGGGAAATGTTTCATTCATGGAAGAAAAATATCTGGTAGTTTTCTTGTTCAAATGTAAAATATTCTACTCACATGGAGGGGAAAAAGAATTTACAAAAAATTGCAGAATCAAGAATCATTTAAAATTCATGGAATGTGTTTTTCATGGGTTTTAAAATAAAACTTTTTAGTTTCTTAGAAAATTTGGTAAATAAGTTTAGAAGGTTCTGTTGGTTGAATAACATTATTAATATTCATTAGGGGTGAAACCCAGAAAACTTGTTACAAAATTAAAATTAGTTTTTCTTCGCTAGTTTTAAAGTATTAAACAAAAATCTAACAACTAAAATTTAAGTATAAAATACATTAAAAATATTAGAAAATAAAATAATTATTAAAAAGGCTTTGTCTATTTTAATATATTTTCTTTAACATAAATACTATTTGATAGAGTAACAAAAATTCTAACTTTGTGAAACCCAAATCCTTGCTACCTGCTGTCTCCCCTGTTTCACGGCTTTCCGTTTCCGCTTCCGTTTCCTTCGTTTTTTTTTTTTTTTTTTGCTATTTTGTCAAAAGACATTTCATTCTTTTCACCGGCAACGACAGAAAAATTACCCGAATTTCATTTAACGCTCCAACTTTGTCACTGGCAGCAGCAAGGACACAACAAACACACACCCAGGCACACCCAGTGTGTGTGTGTCTGGTACATGTAAAGTAAATGCGCTGAGTTTGTTAATGTATTTGCATAAATTTCAAGGAAGAAAAAACAGGAGAAGGAACTGAGAACTGAGCATAGGATATGGTTATGGAAAAAAGGAAAAACAGAGACATTTTTTTGGTTTTAGTTTGGGTTAACACTCGGCGGATAATAGGGAAAACAATCAAAGAAAAGTCTCTTAGGAGTTAAAATAAATATACAAAAAACTATTTAAAATAATTATACAAAAGTATAAATGAATAAAACAAATTTTTAAAATAAATATACATTATACATTTGTTAAAGAAATGTATTCTATCTTTTCCCTTTCCTTTATAACTGAGTTTTACCCTTTACCTTTAAGTTATTGCTTAAAGTAAGCTGCCATTAATCAGGCTAAGCACACTTTGCCTGTTCCACAGTCGCAGATGCAATTGCTCTTAGCTTCAAATTGGATTGTTAGTTTTCAAACATCCTGGACACGTGTGTGGAATAAAGGGTGGCAGGTCACAGGTCCTAGGTCGGGTTACCTGCATCAGCAGCCACTCACCTGTGACGACAGGACACCTGGAAAAAGGCGAAAGTTGAGCTGTCACAAGGGTTCACAAAACTGCCCGCATGCTGGGCTGGGTTGGAGTTGGATTGGGTGTCACGGGGTTAAGTGCACGGGAATGTCACTATCCTTGCTTTAACCCCCCCGCTGCCGACCGGGCTCGTTTGTCGTAATGCATTAGCTGTGTCACAGGAGACCCGGAACCGGAATCAAAACTGTGGCCCTCTCCCGCTGCTCTCTCCACACGACGACTCCATTTCCAATTGTCCGAGAGCCCCAAAGGACCCCTCTGGATTTAGTTGTCCTTTCTTTTCTGGTTGGGGTCTTTCCCCCCTTTTGACTTGCCGTGGCATTTATGAATAATAGATGCACCCTCGGATGTCAATTGTTTATTTATTGTCTGATTGGATCGTCCAAACCGCCGAGGCCGCGACACTTGCACATAAAGAATTCATCGGCGTTTGCACTGCGTTTTGTGAGCAGTAAAAATAACAGTTTCCAGTGAGGTTTATGCGTGAGAGAAGTGGGGGAACAGAACTGAATTAAATCTCGGGAAATTCTGGGAGCTAGTTAAGGGAGAAAGAAAAACTACTTACTTTAAACTTTAACATTTAAAAACTACCAGAAAATAACAAAGAAACAATGTAATTCTTTTGTTAAATTCTGATGGAATGATTAGTAATGCTTGGAAATTACCAAATAAAATATAAACCAACTACAAAAAAGTCTCTTCCCACACTTATTTACCTAACAATCGTGTCTGATTAAAATTAATACCCCCATAAAGAGTTGTAAGTGCTACAACTTAAACCTGAGTTTGTCTAAGAAAAGGGGCATAAATAAATCGCAGGCTAAGCTCAAAAGTCGCGCCATAAACTGCAAGTGAATCTGGGCTAATCGCATATAGTGCCGCATGATCCCGGGCTCAAAAGTGAGTCTCACCTCGCACCTTCTACGAGTGCGGCTGGAGTGTCAATTACTCTTGCTGCGCCAGGGCCATTGTGCCATCGTGCTGCCCCGCCCCTCTGTGAAGTATCCTTGCGTGAATGTCCTACTACCAACAAACTTCCATTGTGCTCTCCTTGTTGTTGTTTGTCTGTGCTGATGTTTGGTCTCGCCTTGGAGCAATTTTTATGGCTCATAAAACTCGAAATTAGAACTGGTGCTGCCTGTGCCTCAGATATACACAATATACACAGGATATATATGTATGTGCCTTTGAGTATAAAATGTTTATGCCGCTGAGCATTTGGAAATCTGGTGGTGGCGCTGCCAAGTGGATTTTCTTTTCAGAATTAGTATTACATTTAAATGGCATATAATTTGTTAGCGCCATAATATTTATGCGACTTGTGGCCGTACACTTTTATTTATGTTCACTTGGCTGCCCAAGGAGGGTGGTGCTTACCGAGGGGCGATCCCCCAGCTGACAATCAAAGCGCACTTCTAAGGAATTGCGTTTAATTTGCGTCTCGCTTCGCCACAATGCAGCCGTGCCACGCGGCGTATGCGCAATTTTTCACTGCCGCTTTCCGCTGGCTCTTGGGGAAACAATTATTTATTTGTGTTGTTTTTTCCGCTGCGTAGATGCGGAAATTTTTAATTGCCGCCTCAACGCGAATTTGTGTGAGTGCTGGCTGTGAGTAGGATAAAGTCCAGAAAGTCTTGGTCCAGAGAGCCCTCTCTGATTACACTAACTCGGCGTCGCCGAAGCGAATACTGAATTATTATTCTAAAGCCAAGCGACCTTCAGTCGCCATAACACAAAAATCTCATAATTCAAAGAAAACATTTTGCTTACATTCCGGAAAAGCAAGCGCACAGCAAAGGGCAGAAAGGAAAATGGTTTCAAGCGAGCGGCGAGAGGAAAGTAATGAAAGAAGCTTCAAAAAATAGTGAGGAAAATTGGATGAAAAGCTGTAGGTTCTCGGCGGGGAAAAGAGGAGGAGTATTGATAGCTGAGATTCTAAATTAGGTATTTTTTTGTTTTTTGATTTATGCACAATAAGAAAAAGTCTATAAATTTGGTTAATTTTCATTTTAAATGTTAAATTATGGACTTAAGGATGATCCAAGAAATAAAAAATAATGCCTAAACCCTTTTCATTCCAATAACAAAACTTAAATAAAATATATAAAGAAGTTATAATCATTTCCCCGTCTGTATATATTCACCATTTTGTTGCCTTGATTATCCAGCTTGAAATTAAAGCCCAAAGATGTATATTTTTCCCAAAAAACCCATCTCGCTCTGTGTCTATCAACCGAGCTCGTCGTCATGCAGCCTTCACTGTGATTCAAAGACTAATCATTGGATTTTTGTTTCCTCTTTTTCAGAAGACGACTTTCGTCAGGCCAGTTAGTGGCACCGGGGGAAAATGGAAAACGGTGAGCCACAGTCCCTTCTCCCCTCAAACTGGCGGCCGGCCACGGTGCGGATGCGTGATGTTCTCGCCGCGGCCTTTGACAACTGAAAATGCCAAAAGGTAGCACCAGGAAGGGAGCCGGAGAACTAAATCGATAACCACAGCACACGCGGCGGCAGCACAAAGTGCTGATCAGCCAATCAAGGCGAGCAACTAAGCGATATAGGGGTGAACTCAAAGGGGGCCACAGAAACCCTCAGCCCGAGGATGCGGATGCGGATGCAGATGCGGATGCGACTGTGGACTTGGCTGGGCTGGGGAGTGTGGCTGCTGCTGTGGATGGGCTTGTGCGGTGTTCTGGCGCAAGCAGAGGAGCTGGAGGAGCTAACGGCTACTGCCGGCGGAACAGCGGGCTCCCCACGGAGTCGCATCAAGGCGGAAACGGAAACCCTGATGACGGGCGACAGCTTCAACATACGCCACGGGCGCTCTCGCTCGCATTTCCTTCACGGTAATGGCACAGGTACTGGCACTGGCAGTGCCATCAGTACCCGCCTCCTTCTGGTACCGCCCACCCAGCTCCCGAGCGTTACCTCCCCCGCACCTGTTACGCATAAAATTCGCAAATTGCACAAAAAGAAAATTAACGAGAGCATACGCAAAAGCGTGGACAAGAGCCTGGGCCTGCTGCATCCGTCGAAGAACCATCGCAGCCTGGCCGAGGCCGAACACCTGCAGGGGCGTCCGGCCAGCGAGGATACCGGCGAGGACCGGGCCCTCAGTGAGGTCATGCAGCTGGCGGACGAACTGGAGCTGGAGAGCTCCCTAACCACGCCCCCTGATCCCAGTATCGGTGTCCAGCAGGCTCGCCAATTTGTGCGTGCCAGTGCTGATGAAACCAATTACCAGGACCAAGAGGAAAACACCCATGAAAGGCAGGTGATTCAAGAGGAAGAGGACGACGATGACGATGAGGAGGAGGAGGATGAAGAGCAGGCGGAAGAGCAGTTGTCCACCACAGCCAGGCCCAGAACCCGCCTGCTGCCCGTGAATGGCACCTGGGAGAGAACAGGCAAGACCTCCCGTGATTCCTCCTCCGACTATGAAAACCATGACCTGGACTTGGAGGAGGACCAAAGCCAGCTGAGTCTCAACCGCCTGCAGCTGCTCAACGACACCGAGTGGCCGGAGGAGGCCACTGTCCCGAAGGAAACCCGCAATGAGCCTGAGGCGGAGGCCAGATCCCAGGCAGCCAGCATGGAGATCAAGCAGATAAGCTTCGATAGCGACTCGGATTCCGACTCAGACATCGATTCCGATGCCGGGCTGGATACCTCTGAGGTGACAATGGACGATGGCTATCCTCCAGATGCCCAGATCGATGACAAGACCAAGCAGCTGGTCATAGGCGATGTGGAGGGCGGCGATTCAGATGGGGACAACATGGAATCCAGCCAGATCACAGCCGATGTGATCAATGCTAGGGATAGCAAGATTGATCTGGTGTCCAAGTTTTTGCAGTACATCGAACAGCAGCATTTGATGGGCTCCAATTGTGTGGCTGGAACCTCCCTGAATCTGGGCGAGGGCGTGGTGGACAGATATGCCCAAGACCGGTTTCGGGTGGAGGCCGAGGTGGCCGTCAATCGCGCCAATATGCTGACCAGGTGAGTGGCTCTGAGTTGCCTTTGGTTAAGTTTTTCGCCTTCTCCCGCATCATATTCATCCACATGCCAAACTTTTCCAATCGAAAGTTTTGGCCGACATGCAAGTGGAAATGGAAATGGATTCAGAAAAACATGTAAACACTCGGGGCTAAGATTATAGAGAAGGAAATTTAATTAGTTAATATGGAAACTTCATTATTTTCTGTTTATTTATGTCTATTATAATTTCGCTTTTATTTTATCTATTTACATTAATTCAAGATTTTCTTTTTTAAAGCAAGTAATTACCTAATAAATCCCAATTTTGCGCCCACAACTGTGCCTTTGGTCGATAGTTAACACTGACAAAATGAAACCTTGATGACTGGATAAAAAAAAATAATCTCTTGGAATTCAGAATATAGTCCCGTTTCTCTGACAAACTTTATTAAGTAATTTATGGTCCTTATTTAAAGGTCTGGAGAGACCAAATCCTCCTGTTCAAGTGACACCTCCTCCTTGGGCAAGAGATCCTCCTCGGAGGGCGAGAAATCGTTCGGTATGTGAAAGGTCTGGCGTATCTCCTCGACCGTGTGTCCTCTGATCATATTGGCCACTGTCTGGCAGGTGGCATTGAGAAGCTTCCGTATATCCAGATAGTTGGCCGCCAAAATCAGCTCAAAGAGAGTGCCCTGATCGATGGTCAGAAACTCCACGTCCCAGGGGCTTAGCTCTGAGAAGGGATTAACCTCGTCCTCCTCCTTGTCAAAGTCCGAGTCCATGTCAGCTTGGTGGTGCTTGGCCCAAATTAGGACCTTGTTCAGTATCAAAGAGTTGACATTGGGCAGGGGAATCAGTGGATTCTCCTCCGACTCTGCCTCCAGGCCGCAATCCTCTAGCAGGGCCTTGATGGTGTTCGAGCACTTGGCTGTCTCGGCATCGGTCTCAAAAATTTCGCCATCAGAGGATTGCAACTTAATCAATGGCATGGCTGTTACTAACCACCTCTGACAGGATTAATTTACACAATACCAAAACTGAAAATATGAAAAAGGAAATTTTTTTGACAATTTCAAATGGAAAGTAAGAAGACAGTCAAGGCGTTATGACACTACAGTTGTTGCTTGGATTAGGTGGAGTATATGTTGAAGAACAAAAAGAGACCACTATATATTTGATATATTTTTGTAAAGAGGGAAAAGGTCATTGTACAACAGTGTAGTGTCATAGCCCGCTTAAAGTTAGTTACCTCAAAGTTAATATTAATATATACACTTCTTAGAATAGCATTTAAACAAAATTCTCTGGCTATTTTCTATACATTTTTCACCTGGAAAATGGCCAAGGCAATCATCGATTTGCCCAGGATTTTTCATTCTCCATCGCTCATCGCTCACGTTTCACTAGTTAGTCGCCAATTTCTGCTCAGCCAGATTGGCTGGCAAGTGGCCTTCCGATAACAACGAGCATAATGTGCTTTTCTTGTTGCGGTCATAGTTGCCAGAACTAGCTTCTTCCACAATTTTCCTCCAGGTTTTCCCCTCGGCCTGCCGCCAATTTCCCTTCACGTCTGCTTGGCTGCGTGCAATTTTTTGATAAAAGTTCAATTACTTAGCTGAACAGGCGTGCCTGGGACAGGACAAAAAGTTTGTGGCATTCCTGTGGCCGAAACGAGAAGCAGAGGACATTGATTTACCTGGCAATTCATTTGGTTCTATTTTTTTCTCTTGGAAAGAAAAACTTTTTTTCCAACAGCCACGACGTCGATGTGATGTGTGATTCGTGTGTTTTGTTTTTCCCGTTGCCATGCTGGACTCCTCGTCATCGATTTGGGGCAGTAGTATCGCATCAAGCGAAGTGACAATCGCAAGGACATTTGAGAAGCTGCAATCCCTCTCAGTATCTCTGTGAGAAGGAAAGTTGTTCCAGCATTCTTTGAGTTCTTTGCTCTGCTTTTCCTTTTGCCTTTTCCCCCAGCACCCGCACACCCACAAACACACGCACACACACAATAAACACTAAGTTTCATCAGATGTCGCATATGTGGGCACAAAGTCCTGGTCCGAGTGTCCTTGCCTGCATACACGCATCCTATATGTCAATGTCCGTGTCTGTGAGACTTTCACGCAGACATTAGACCAGGAATTTATGTCTTTCAGTTTTTCTTTAATGCCTCTCTGCGTCTGCTTTGGTCGAAGGACAAAAAACGAGGCAAAAAGAAGGTGATAAGAGTCCTGCGAGTGGCCTGGGTGTGGCTATGTGGGATCCATGCAACAGGCCAGGGATGTGATTTAGTCCCTGGACATAATTTTCAAGAACAGAAGATAACAACTTTGGCTCACTGATTGGTGAGCAGCAGGAAATCAAGGCCATTTGTCCACGGAAAACTAATTTGTTAAAAGCCACAAAAAAAGGAAGACAGGAAGCAAGGACATGAATACAAGCTGACAAATCTAATGAACAAATGCCGCTTGTCAATAAAACGTACAAATAAACAATTAACCCAGCCGAGAAGCAGCTTGACAAATTAAGTGACGGAGGGAAAAATGTTGAAATGGGAAATGCCGGAAAACAGGGAAAACCCCAAAAGGACTAGCGAGGAATGGTGGTGGTGCTGCTGCTGTTGTAACTTGGCCTGGGGAGCAATAAAATGTCAAATGTTAACGTCAAATGTCAATAAATTAAATTGCTCGTGGCCTCTGGATCTGGGATCTGGTTTCGGGATCAACATTATTGCATTTAGTGTCATATGCCAGACATTTGTTTTCATTATTTGTTCAATACGTGAATGTGACTCCTGGGACTCTTGGGGCTCTAAAGCCTGTCCTGCTGATTTATTCAGTCCCTCAGCCATAAATTTAATGGCAAGTCCTCGCCCGACTGGTTCATAATTTCCAACAGCGCCTGGGCTGTGCTAATCACAGAGCCTGTTTTAATCAGTTTTTCTTGTGTTAACATAATCAAGGCTGGCCGGAAAAACTTTTCCCTTCTGCAGAAGGAAATTAACCGAGAGGAGGGAGCAGGAAGAAGGGCAGGAGCTGGGAGGTTTCATCTTCAGATAGAGACTAATTGAAGTTATTGTTTTGTGATACATTGTTATCGCTTTCCCCCAGCCAAGATCCAGTGATTCCGGCGGCGTCGGCTCCTTGTTCCTGCTCACTCTTTTTTTTTTGTGTTTGGGCATTTCCCGTTTACTTTGTTGCGCAAACAAAAACAAGAATAACATTTAAGGATAACAAAAAGGCAGGGTTTCTAGGGAAAAGGAGCTCGAGGTGAGTGCAAAAGGGATGGTTAGCTTGGCAGGAAAACAATATCAATTCAACTTGAAATTACGAGCTTCAATTGTTTTCTTGCCTTGGCCACTTTTCGTTAGTTTCCGTTCACGCCATGTTGCCAAAGTGTAGACAGCAAACAAAAAGGACGACGACTCCTTACACATAGACACACACACTTTGCACACCGGCGTGGTGGCAACATGGCGGATGGAATCGGAAAACTTTTAAGTACTTAAATGTGTTGTCGTCGAGAGCGGTTCAAGAGCGACTGAGGGAGTGTGTGAGGTGAGAATGGTGAGCCCGGCTCCTTTGGCTTTTCCCTTGAAATTGAGTTTCCGGCTTTTCCAAACTCTTTTGTTTCTTTGGCTGGCTTCGAATGCACATCGCTCTCTCTTGTGCTGGTATTTGCCAAGCAATGATTTTGTTTTTCTGCGGAAGTTCGGCGATAAACTTGGCAAATAATTTATTGCCTTTTCGTAGCTTGTTTCAATTTTACTGCTGTTACTGTTGATGTTGCTGCTGCTGCTGCGTTCGGTTTCAGTTCATACAACAAATCGAAATTGAAATCTGCATAAGCGATGCAGTTTCCAATTGCCAGCGGCAATAAAACGCGACAGCGGCAAGGACACCTCCTCCCTTCCCAAAGGAGAAACCTAGCCCCCTCGTCGTTGTCATTGTCAACATCCTTCAAAAGTTCTCCTCCAAACGGAAGCAAACAAATATCTATGCAAGTCAATGTTCAGGCAACAGTTTCACACAGGAACCTGCGTCAGCATTTCACTTGATTTCTCTCAGTGTGTGTGTGAATGCTTCTGGCTTTGGGACTTTGTGCCGCTTGATTTACTCGACTCGGCTTCTGCCCGGCGGGCGGTGCTAATAACGCTGCCCCCACCGAAGCTTTTCCGACCTCTTTGCCCCACCTATTTTCCAACCACTCCGCCCCTTGCTCCTGCCACGCCCACTAGACCCCCCGACCATGCCTTTGCTTTGCTCTATTTTTATTGTTGTTTTGGTCGCTGCAGAATGCAGCAGCTAGCTAGCAAGTTGTCTAGCCCCAAAATGGAAATTGTTTTCATTTCTGGGCAAAGCAATCCTAATGTGCATTTTTCCCCGCATTTCCCACGCTTTTTACCTCCCCCCCTGGTCCCAGTTGGATTTGGCACCGCTTTTCCCGCAACTGGAAAACTGCAACTGACACGGACATGCACAAGGCCCCACACTGTGTGTGTGTGTGTGTGTGTGGGGATGGAAGCAGTGCACCCTGGTTATGCGGATGGGAAGCACTCGGCCGCGGACCTTTTTTCCAGCTGGTTTATTTCAGATTCTCGCATCTGGGCCTGACTCCTGCTCCTGGGCCCGACGACTGCTGAATGCTGTTGAATCCTGGCCTTGTCTGCCGCCTGCCTGCTGGCGTTGTTGGATGTAAATGTTCCTGCTCGGGGTTCTGGTTCAGGTTCTGGTCGTGGCTGCTCCGTATGGTTTCCCCGCAGAAAAGTACAGTCAGGCCTGTAGAAGGGGGAAGATTTTAGCTTAATTTTTGCTACCTTTAAAAGGATTTAAAAACCTCTACTGATCTCTGCTGCAGCTTTACTTAGATTATTCATTTTAATATTCCTTAAAAAAAATCTATTTAAAAATACCTCTTTTCGAATAACAACTGTACCAGCTCAGTGGCTAAATGCCTTTTCAACTGAATTCTATTTTGAGTAACAGAGAAAACTGTGGCTTAGGTTAGATCGACTGTGAATGTTTTGCGGTGTGGCATGTGGCGGGGTGTGCTCCCCACTTTTAACGGCTTTACAAACTACATTGCTGCAACGCTGTGGCACTGTGGAGCGCTTTGTGCAACACATGTTGCCATAACTTAACAGCTTAACAAACTTGTCGAGTATACCCGAAAACGTGGCACCCCAACCCAGCACCAAGTCTCCTCCTCCTTCTCCAGCTCTCAAGTGGCTGCCGGCCCAATTGGCGTATGCGTAACGTTTAAAGCGGCCCCAGACGTAGCCACAGCCGCAAAGCAGCAGCAGCAGCAACAGCAGCTTTTTTTCGTGGCACCGCGGACTCGCAGTCTATTTTTGCGCAATAAAAAAAGCATTCGGATCAGGACCCAGAGCCGCAGACAGCAGCGGCCAAAGTTTGTCCTTGCAAGAAGGCCCAGAGGCGCGAGGCTTTCGCTCTCCACTCTCGACTCATTATGCTCCATGGCAGGAAATCAAAAGGGAAACTTTTTGCGCCCCGAAAATGTTTGGCAACTTTTCGCCTCCCGGACTTTGCTCTGTTCTCTCTCTTTCTTGGCGCCTGCAATAATAATCATCGGGCTGGCAAAGTGCGTTGCCAAGAAGTTAGCAAGTTGAAAGCAATTAATGGACTAAATCAAAAAGCATTTTTTGAACAATAAGCGAACAGGGCGGCTGTGGCCAGCATAAACATGTCAACAACAAGTGTCGTTGAGGGGGGAGGAGGGGGTTCAATTAGCCGCAAGCTGAAGCCAGGAAACTGGTAATTAATTGAACTCCTTTTTCTAGAGAGAAGCTGCCAATGATTACCCCCACTTTGATCTTGCCTCTTGTGTGTCATGTCAGGCAATTTTCTCTGACATAAGCCAACTTAGTTACACAATTTCCTTGGTAACTTTTTAATTTATGCATCTTGGCTGGTTAAAAGTTGGCAGCTTTTTAGTTTGTTTGTTTAACGGGGTTGAAAATATTAAACAAGTTAAGTCAGCATATGTTAAGCAATCAAGGAAACTTGATTATAAAGTAAAGAAAAATTAAAGAAATGAGTTCTTAAACTGGACTTAATTTTAAATATATTAAATCATATTAATCTACTTTCATTTCCTTATTTATCAGCCCAAGAAATAGATTTTCCTTAAGAGATAAGTTTCTTCTAATAAATTTCCTTAAAAACCATTCACAAAAGTCTATTAAAAGACAGCTTTGTATGATTTCCTGGCCCCTAAAAATTACATGTTTGCCTGAAATATATCTATAAATCTCTTATTTTATATATTTCTTCCCTTCTCGATTTAAATATCCATTAAAAAGTGATTTCTTCTTGGAGATATCCTGTCAAAACAAAACTCCCTTCCGACATAAAACATAATTCGCAAAAGTCAATTAGCAGGAATCATATCTCAATATATACATCTTATAAAATTCGTTTCGTTTCGGCCCAGTTATGACTTTGCCTCACCGTTTGATCATTTAATTATAGCCTAATTAAAATTGGCAAAAAGCCTTGACCGTTATGGGCCATTAAAAGGCGCAGCCGGCAAACAAAAATAAAGGACAGACAAAAGGGACCGAAGCCAGGCCAAAAAGCATCATCATCCTGTCCCATCATGATGGCCATTCCATTCATTCATTCATTCATTCATTCAGTCATTCGTTGGGCCAGGACGAGAAGGAGTAATATGGCCAAGTGCCCTGGCTTTGAATAATTAAACCGGAGCATTTCGCTTTCAATTAAGATGTCGACACGCAGGCATCAAGATGCTTGAGGCATCCCCCAGAGAGTCCTTTTGGGAAGCCCACCCAGGTGCCTGCCTGCCAGCCAGCCTTAAAATTTCACAAAATTCACACTGCGCATTATAATGGAATTTAATTTCCTTGTTTATGGCTGGCCAATTAAATGATTTGCTCGCGTGCTTCTATATATAAATATTGTTTCGCCCCCGTGCTCTCCCTTCGAAATCAATAAATCGCAGCCTTGGCAGCGACTTGAATGCAAATATGAGGCTAACAAGGAGCCCGGGGAGCAGGCAGGCAGCCAGGCAGGAGACCTTCTCATCCTCGACATGGAACGACCTTCTCAAGTCAAATAACAGAAAAAAGCGGCTTAAGTGCCAGCGGGCGCCCGCCTTGAGTTTCTAATACGGCCAAGACGGGCATCATGTGCTAAACAAATAAGCGAAACAGCCGACTTAAGTCCTCCATGGAGATTTTTTCCCGGGATCTCGCCGTGGGTGGGATTTTTCTTGTGTCTTGACAAAGCACCGGATATAAATTGCCAAGGCCCAGGCTAAAACTTTAGACCGTTCGGTCAGTTTTAGACAAAACATGTTTTTAATTAAACGTCAGAAAAGATTCGCCGCTCAAGAACTTGCAGTTTCTGTGTAATTACACCTATACACTAAGCATACACAGGTGTTTATTACCTAAAATTCCCAAGCAACCACACCTAGAGCGAGGGTTGTTAGGGAAGTTTACAGTACGAATCTGTATAAAAATAATAAAACTAAGTATACGCCATGTTGGCTTCTATGTTTTTTTTTCACCAGAAATTCCTAAGATTTAATTCTAAAATTTAAATAAAGGTATTTCCCTAAAGCTAAGACTCATTTAACCCTCGAAATAAAAATGTAAGCAGACAAAGGACAATAGGTAGGGAAAGGGAGAGCACTCTCAAGTACTTAGTGAGTTACTTACTTCTGGTTCCCTCTCGTCCTGGCCACTGGCACACCTGAAGCTTGTTTGGCGCTTGTTTTCACCTCCTTCCCCCCTTTTAGCACTCAAGTGGTGAAAAGTGTTTTTAACACACTTTAGGAAAGTCTAGGGAAGAAGGGTTTCGGGGGAGAAGAAGGAGAGACAGGAGCAGGAATGCAACTCTAGCCGTCCCGAAACTATATAACCACACAAACAGTTCAAGTTGTCTAAGGAGAATGTTAATTTGGGAAGGAGAAGGAAGGAAAGGAAAAAAACACTGAAAAAATATCTAGCTATAAAATAATTAAAGACATATAAAATTAAAACTCTTTACATATTTTTCTTTCTGTAAATCAGAAAGCTATATATTTTCCTCCCATCTCTAAATCATTTACCATAAAATCCTAGTGGGCCATAAATAATGAGGAGGCTGGTAAAAAAAAAAAAATCTGTCAACTCCATGTCGGGCTCCCAGCTAAGTCAGCATTATCGCCAGCGAACGGCGGCGTCATCATCATCATTAGGCGACTTTTGAGCCCTGACACGGCCTTGGACACTCGCATGGATTTGCTTTGGTTTGGTTTGCTTTTGGCAAAGGCTGTGGGGGGATTTGGATTGGGTGTAGGTGTGGGTGGTGGCTGTTTGCTGACAAAATGCCGTTGACATTTACAAATGAGGCCCGCCAGCGAATTAATGAGCCACGCCCAATTAGCGAGCGCGTCACATGAGAGAAGAGCTGCGAGCCTCGGCAAGATCCCCAAAAAGGCTCCCATTATCCTGATGTCTGTGCTCCTGGCTAATGTATTGGAAAATGAAATTGAAGCCAATGGCTGTAACTTTCTTTTTTTACCTCCTCTTAAAGCAACAATTTAATTAATTTGGAACAGACAGGAAAAAGGTGGTAATCTTGGCCCCCACTTTGGGCTAAAATCATCAATGTAATTTTCTCGTTTACTCGTTTTTTTTCTGGTACAAAGAGGTCTAAGGGTGAAGGCATCCTACCATCCTACCATCCTGCCATCCTGGCAGACAATAGAAAGCCAGGAGCGCACTTGAGCACAGTTTGAGGCGGCTTGAATGCGCCGCGCCTATAAGTATGCACTTGTGACCGTATTCCGCCCCCGTTTCTGTTCGGGTTTATAAATATAATAAAAAAAAAAACTGAGAGAGAAGGCTTTCTTGCTGGTCCACTGAGCCACTTTCGGGGCTCTGCTTGAGTTGCAACCAAACTTTGTTGTATTATATTGTATAATATTATATTATATTAATACATTATATATATTCTGTCACAGTAAAAGGGGTGTAGCCCCTTGGGGTTTAAGCAGGAAATTTGTGTCACTTATATAATAAGGACATGGGTTAAGGACCTCGCTTAAAAGGTCTTAGTATTTTTTAGCAAATGTTAGACAAATAATAGAAAATAATATTTTGAATAATTTAATTTATTTTCTACTAAAAAAAATATAATTAAATCGCTGGTAAGGGTATCTAAAATCAACTTTACCATAAAAACCTCCTCCTTTATGAAATTTAAATGCAATTTCATGCAATTTCCTGGCTGTCCATCGTCATAAATTCAATTGAAATACACATGTTTTTGTTGTACATTTTAAGGACCTGCTACTAATATCCTTTCTCTCTTTCGCTCTCCCTGTCAGAATCTTCAAGACCACTGGCCGTTCGGTCCAGGAGGATGTCAACCTGCTGCACGCCTCCGTCCTGTCCATGGTGGAGTTCGACGATGATATATTCGCGGCCGGAAATTGCTTCGACTGGAATGAACATCCCGCCCAGCCGGGTCTCTTTTGTCCTTTTGCCTACCGCCTGCCGCCTCCAAATTTGGGCGCGGTCTTTGCCAAGGATTTGGCCATGGAGTACCACTATCTGGGCAATACCTCCGAGTGGTTCTTCCTGGCCCGCAAGAATGCCGAGAAGGTGATAGCTCGGAACGAGCAGTATCTCAAGTGTAAGTATCCCGGGGTTGCTCTTATGTTCTCCGTCTGAAATCTGTGTTTGGGAATCGGTAATGTCCTTGATTTATTTGCCAGCTGGGGGTAAGCAGAAGCCTGCCCCCTTATTTATGGCGACCTGATAGCAGGGAATACATATAAGTACTATGGTAGACAAAATAATAGCTCTGAGAAGATCAAGTGTTGTAGAATGTTAAAGAATAAATAGAAAAATAAAATAAATATAGCTGAATAATACTATTTGAATAATACTATTTTCAAAGTTATTAAAACAAAATATAGTCCTTGCATAAATATATTTGTTCTTCTCCTCTAGCTATCTTCGCTCCTATAATTCTCCCTCGAACTGTACATACTTATAGACAGCATTAAATATTTATTTTTGGAAGCTTTAATCTGCGACTTCATTAGTCACCGGCCAGACGACGGCAGAAATCATGGTAGGAGCATCTCGCCTAATTGCGAAAGAGAGTCGCATATTTTACCCGGCTTTATCAGGGGCCGAAAATGTCCCCCCTGACAGTCCCACAATTAAGGAATAATAAATAAACGGGATCCCAAGGATCCCTAAAGGGAACTCCACTTTAAATGGAAATTACCTGGACCCGGTGCCAATTTACCAATTCCGTTCGTAATTAGCCGGACTTCCGTTGGCTCCTAACATCAAACGGTGGGTGATGCGTGTAAGCTAATTTTATGCAAGACTCGCCATCCGACGGAGCTCGTCATAGTCAGGGATTTACTAGTTGTCCTTTGCCTTTCCCCCTTTAAATTTAAGTTGCATCAAATTAATTTTAATGATGTCAACTTATTTTGGCAACAACCTTACACGGTTTTGACCGGCAGTTTGCATAGTTTCCCGTGGCGTGGGGGGAAGCAAATGCACTTGACACGACCATGCCGCAACATTTCAAAATAATTTGCAAATTAAAGGTTACGGTTACACCACGTTGCAGGATACACCCTGGCCCCCCCGTGGATGTCTTCGTGTCCCCTGCAGTTCTGGTAGCTTGCGTGTGCAGCGTTGGCATGCAAATTATTTGTTTGCCTGCCTACAACTAATACTAAACGTGGAACATGGGTTTTTTGGGTATTCCCACGGCATTTACACTATGGAAAAATGTGTTTACTTGGGTGGGAAGTTTAAATAAGATATAAAGTTTATTTTTTTAATTTTTTGGTACAGGTTTTGGTTCTAAAAGATTCAAGTATTTATAAAGAAACAAACAAATTTAATTATATTTTAAAGATTTCATTTTGAATTCCAAACGTTGGTCACACTGGTGGAAAAGGTTCCTTCAAGGACACAACTTTATAAAGGGTTAAGAAACAATAAAATTATGTTAAAGATGTTTTTCAGACTTGTTATATTTCCTAAGCTTAGCCAAGTCCAAGCACTATTTCTCCCAGTGTGACAACACCCTCGCCTTAACCCCGCGCACTCCTCGGTACCGCATCCGCAGCCGACAAAACCGGACCCGGCCGCAGGCTCTGTGCCTGCAAATTGCATGAGGGAAATTGCATGAGATGCCGTTGAAAAATGTGCGCAGTATACGTATACGTAACGTGAACGGCCGCACTGCCATATTACGTATACGCCGCGTTCGATTGTACTCTGTGACTTTGGCTGCGACACTCAACCACACACATAGCCGCGGGGGCAAAACTGGACACCCATGCATACTAATAGCGTTTTTGGGGCGGGGCTTAAGGGGGGGACTTTAGCCTGATTGCAGGCTGGGAGCCAACTATTTGCCATAGATAAAGGTCCGTTTGGCCATCCGTTTTGTTTGCCGCGGCAGCCAAAATTGAAAAGACGACTAGAAAACAAATAAAAAACACAAAGTTGCCAAATTATATTTGTGGCTCAAACAATAAACGAAAGCGGTGTTCGTGCCCTGACATGGAGTCTCATTTATCTACTGGCCAAAGCTGTCCTAAGCCCTGGTGAACTATGATTTACGATGTGCTGAAACTGCATTTGCATATTTGCTCTTGGCTTTAAAGTTCGTCCTGCTGCGGCAAAGAGTTTTCCTTTGTCGAAAGAGTTTTCCTCGCGGAGTCATAAATCCTGGCATTGCAGACTTATTAAATTATTGCCACACTTTTCAAGCAAGGACTTTCATTTAAGCCTTGCGCGAACATTTTTCACACCACAACCAATTTGCGGCCAATTCGGGCGCAATTAATTTGATTATATGTTTGCGGTGCACAATGCAAATGTTGTGTCTTTTTTATTTTGGCCAACAAAAAAAAAAAGCCAATTCGCGCAGTGATTACCTTTTCATGGCATAATTAATAATATTTTTTGTTCGTTATTTACCACAGGCCGCCCATGGCGCCCAAATGGAGCAATCAATGGTAAAACGAGTGCATTTAATAGCCTTTTCAGTTTATTGGTTGTAATATTCAAAAAATGATTAATAATGTCGATTTAAGTGCACTCAATATATATATAAGCATTTAGTCTAATTGCTAATGGGGCAGGGGGATGGAAAATCACTGAGCTAATGAGGGGGCAGTAAATTGTTTAGAGGGAATTAATAGGATATAAACAGCTGAAATTAATTTTTAATGAGGTTTCAGAGGAGTTAATTAAAATAAAATTGTATTATATAGTGAGGGGAAGGAGTGATTTAAATAAATATATATTTGCTTAAACTTTATTCATATAAAATGCCATGAAATGAAATTAAATTGCCAGACAAATATGAGTCTTTTTCTCTTCGATTGACCAAGATAAAGTTGACAAAAGGGAAAAATATACATAGACAGGATTCTTTCTTCTTTTTCGTATTCCTGCCATTGTTATATCCTGGCTATGCTATGTATACATTGCCATACGGCCAGTCCATCTATCTTGGCCGCTTCTAACCACTTTACATGTTTATGTACTCCTACTCACACTCATACTCAGGGACTTATACTCATACCCACACTCCTGCTGTGCTCATATGAGCACGCGTGTGCGGCAAGTAAACCGCAAAAATATGTCATAATATTTGCTTTCTGCCTGAATCCTTGGTTGCCAGTTTTTCCCTCTCCCTAGGCAGACTGGGCGATCCGTTTTATATTATTATATTCCGCCTCTGCCTTTTCGCTGGCTACAAGTCACGTGTTTAACATAAAATTTAAATAAAAATCGCATACAATATGTAAACGGTTATATGTACTTCCTGTGGTTCCTTCAGAGAAATATTTTCCATGGGCCTCGTCTCTCGGCCGTTGTAATTTCCGTCTGTTAACACAATTTGCAAATTCAGTCAGACTTTCCACATCCTTTGCCATTGCCATTACCATTTACCAACTAAATCAGCCAAAATCTTATGAGATAAGCCACAACATATACAGATTTTATGCAAATCAAGGACATAAAGAATAGCAGTTGGGATTTCTTGTTCCTTGTTGTTGTAGAAGTCGGGTACAGAGTGCACAGGATAATTCTAGATAATTTTTGAAGCTAATTTTACTGGAACTGGTCGGCCAGATTCATTTGCCGCACTATTGTGATGATGCTGAAGGCGAACTTGGCCACCTAAAAGTGTTTAAAAGTGAGTTGAAGTCTGGGTAAATTAGACAAGTCCCTGACTTACGCTTATGTTGCTGTTCATGGAGATGGGAAATATGCCTCCTGCTATGAATATTATAGGCTGCTGGACATGATGCATAAAGTGTACCAAGGTGGCCTTGTAGCGAGGCTCTGCATCCACCCAATTCGATTGGAATATAGTGTTTGCCAAGTCCTGGGCATCATCCAGGAGTAAATTGCAGGTATAACAAAAGGGAAATGTTTGCAGCAGGATGGTGATAACAAAAAGAAAAGAAGCCACTCCTTTCCAAAAGTTCGAGAAGAAGAACACATTGATCAGGGTCAAGCCCAAAACAGAGCCAATGAGGAGGAACTGCACGAAAATAGTTCTGGAAATCATGGGACGTATCATGTCGCAGCATCTAGGAAATAAAAGTTACTTAGAATATCATATCTCAAGCGCAGACTCACCTCAATATCATCTTGTGATCTATGACACAATTAACCAAATCCTGGTAGTTATCCGCCTCACTTCTCTCCGGATCCATTCGCAGATTTCTCACATGATCCTTCAGCACATCCATGTGCGCCCGAAAGATTATAGTAAACATCAAGGGATAAGTATCAGATAGCTGATCTTGCAGCACCGCAAAGGACATGGTTATGTACTCGAAAATAGCCTGAATCCACAGGCTACCCAGACCATCGCGCCAGTCCACAAAAGGATTATAAACAGACCAAGGAGGACGACCACTTAGGGCATAGGAAAGAAAAGTGGAACCCGCATAGCCACAGTAGATAAAGCTATAGATCAGGAAAGCATAATTGCAGCGGGCCACCATTTCATGGATCTTCTTGCGATCCCCATCACCCTTCAGTCGCCTGTCCAGATTATCCAGCAGCATCTCCGTTTTCCGTAATCTCCACAGGAATATATACGTAATCGTTGACTTTACAGAAGCTCCATACACGTTAATGCACACCTGCAGGGAGGTTAGAAACTCGCCAGGCGTAAAGTTCTTAAACTCATTCACATAGCTGATGATGAAGCCCACGGGCAGGTAGAACACACCAAAGGCAAAGGGCACACAGGTCCAGAAGAGATACACATACCGCAGCAGACCCTCTTTGGGCGGAATCCATCCAATAAGCCACATGGCCCTGTAGAGATATATATTCGCCTCGCGCGACTGCACCTTCTCCTCCAGCGGCGCCGGATGAATCAGCTGGAAGAGCACCATGGTCACTAGTAGTCTCTACCTACTGGCCAGCGGCTTTATATATGGTCTGTCACCCACGCCCACCTCAACCGATAATTGGACAGGTGCTTGGTTTCCTGCCAAAAGGCACGCCCCACAGCTTTGTGGCCTGTAATTAGAGTTAACCATCGGGCAAAGTGCGAACAGGGATTTATTATTGAAGAGCAGGCAGGCAGGCGCAGGTCTGTCAACTGTCAATTATACGATTAATTGTTAAATGGATTTTGCTAATCACTCAATTTAGGGTTAGAAAAACCTTTAAATTAACAGGGGAATTAATTAAATATATGGATATTTTGTTAAATCAAAAGCATATGTCAGAAATTATTTAATTGATTTCATAGATTTTCTTTGTCTATAATTTACAAATATCTTTTAAAGTTTTACATATGTTTTCCCCCTTCGCCTACGCCCCCTGGCCAAAGGATTCTCGAATCCTACCAGTGTGTACCCACTTGAGCGTTCAACTTTAGTGACTGTGCAACTACTTAACGTGTCTTTGTGCCAATATTAGTTTAGAAAATGATCTCCTCCTTTCCACCCTCACGGCTCTATCTCTCCTCCCAGCTCCCTATTTGTCTTAAACTTCTCCCCGAGATTCATTTGATTGACAATTGTAATAATGGTGAAAGCAAACTTGGCCACCGCTATGTTGCTCTGCACGGAAATGGGAAAAATAGAGCCGGCCTTGAACTCAATGACCTGCTGAGTTCGTTGCAAAAAATATATAACCGCCGATTTATAACGCTTAGTGGCAGTCAGCCAGTTGGAATGGAACAATGCATCCGAGAGTTTGGTGCAATCCTCGATGAGAAATTCACAGAGCAGGCAGCAGGGAAAGGTCTCCGTGCATATGGCCAGAATGAAGGCAATATTCGAAAGGATCATCCAAATGGTGTTGGGGAAAAACAGGATATTAAAGCCGGCCAGGCCAAGGACAATGCCAACCAGCATGAACTGGGCAAAGATGGTGTAGGATAACATGGGACGGATGATGTTGGAGCATCTAAAAAATCAAAATTTATTACAAATTTACAAAAGAAAATTTAGGGAAAAAGAAATCCTTGGAAAAAGGCTTTAAATATAATTTAATATATTTCAAAACCTCCGTTTTGACACTGCATTAAACCGATTTCATAATACTCACTCTATAATAGTACGATGATCCTGAATGCAGGCCACCAGCTCCTCGTAATGCTCCTCCTCACTGAGCTCCTCATCCTTCCGCAAATTCTCTATGCGATCCTTGAGTATAGCCAAATGTCCACGAAATAAGGATATAAATACTATAGGAAACGTGTCTGCCATCAACTCCTGTGATTCCCCAGTGCCAACCACAAAGAACTCTAGGATCGAGGCAACCCACAGCTGCCAGGTGCCATCCATCCAGTCCACAAAAGGATTATACAATTGCCAAGGAGCCTTCCCAGCCGCAATGCTCGTAAAGAGAGTCAGGATACTAAAGGCAAAGTACATGTACATGAAGAATATTATAATGCGATTCACCCGAGCCACCATTTGGTGGAGTATCAAACGCTGGCTGGGCGTGCGGCATCTCTCGTCCAATGGAGCTATCAGCTCGTTCATCCGCCGCATCCGCCACATCTGAGAATAGGTCACGCACGTCTTGATCACATTCCCCACACAGTTGAGGTCCACCTGCAGCGAGGTGAGGAATTCCATGGGCGTGAATCTATCAAAGTGCACCACATAGGTGAGAGACAACCCAAGAGGCAGATAGACCACACCCATCAGCATGGTGGTTCCTGTCCACAAGGCATATGCCCACCTAAGCCAACCCTTCTCCGTGGGCGGCATCCATCCAAGAAAGGTGGCAAAGCGATAGAAGTAGGCGCAGGCATCCAAGGATGTGACTGGCTGGTCCAAAGGAGCCACTGCCAGGCGTTCGAATAGCTTACTCATCTTGTCCAAGGAGAGATAAAGTACTTTTAAAGTGGTTGGTTGGCTTGCAGAGGGTTTTTATATATGGCGGGAGAATGCATTTCCTGATCTGTTTTTAATGCCTTGTCATTTTTGGTTTATTCATCAGGGGAGTGCTCCTTACCTCCTGAGTCCTGCGTTTATAAAGTCATTAGTGGCAGGATTGGCTTAGGCAATGCAAGTTATGCAAGTGAAACACTGGGGAAAATGAAACCCAAAAGATGGGAGAACTTGGGAGATATTATCTTTAAATTAAAGCTACAAATATTTATTCAAAAATTCGTATTAAAATATTTTTAAATAGAACATAACGAATATTTGCTTCAAAACACCTAATAAACACTTGTTTATTTAACAACATATTTTGCGTAGCCTAAAATCGAGCACACTTGAACATATGTTTCCTATGATTTTGTGGTGTCACTAATGTACAGAGTATATAGAGTATTTACGAGTATTTAGAGTATCTAATGGCGCATCTTTACCCAAGATTAATAACTAATTAAAATGTACTAAAAACGCCTCTTCAGGAGTCGTAAAGTGCGTTGCCAAAGACCTGGCATGGCCAGTTGCTGTCGCAAATTCTGCAGCATCTGGCCAAAATCCGCACCCTTGTTGTGTGGCGGCATGGGGAGCATGGCATCATCCGGAGCTACCTGTGGCCCACGGTAGGTTTCCACAACGGCGCGACGTTCCCGAAAGCCAGCAGGTGACATGCGTTGCACCGGCGTAATGGCCTCCATCAGAGGCTCCATCTTCCTCAAGTTTGGATTTAGGTTGGGATTACGTTCTGGATTCATTTTCTTGCTGGATACGAGTTTGTAAAATTTTAGGGAAATTTAGAAATTTAATAGTAAATAAAATATATAACTGAATTTTCGACTGTTTACCGGATGTGTTACTGAACTGTTGTGGGGGGAGTCTGAACGAGATCTTGACAGTTTAGGGTTGAAGTTTTAACAGTTTACTGGGTTTCCTTTTGAATTACTTAAAATATCTATTTTAAATAGTCTCAGTTTCTCGCAGTGCATCCCCTTGGGTGCTTACTACCCTTCGCTGGGCCTCGCTGAAAGGCTTATCGATTTCTGGTTCCTCTAATTACATTCTGCATAATGGATTACGCTATTGAACACCCTTTCCTTGCCTCCGTTGTCCTTGCAGCCTTTCATCTCTACTCGAATCGCACCGAGGAGCGCATCGAGGACGACACGCTGGCTGTAAAGTATGAGGACGGCAGATGGTCAAAACCCTACTATGACTGCGGTGGCGGCAACATTTGGATGCTGACCTACACGGTGCCGTTCTTTGGTTACGAAAATGGAACCTATCACTTCAAGTAAGTGGAGACTGTTAAAAATTATGGTAAAATTGCTTTATTTAAATTTTAAAATATAAATTCAACGAGGGAAAGTTTAATAAAGGAAGTGTAGATCTTCAAAACTTATAGACTATTCAGAGATGCAGATAATCCAGCTCGTAGAACCTTTTTCTACCCTTTTTAAACTACATATTTAAATTTCTAAAGCAAGTTCTGACTTTAATTTCCTTTTTAAGTATATTACTCGTTCATTCATAAATTTTTAATAATTTTAGAGCTTATTTTCTTCGTGTATCTTATAACAAAAGCGCATATGCGAGTGCATGCACATGACGGATGCCACTGGATGAGCATTCTATAAATAATTTGCAGTTGGGGAAATTTTGTAAGAAAACTGCAATGACGCCGCTCTGCGCTAAGTGCCAACGGAGCAGTTTTCTTAGTATAGTTTTTCATATACCCGCTGCTGCTACACGCTGGAAAAGCCGGAAAAAAACTGAGCGAATGGCAGTTTTTGGCTTTTGTCTGGGAATGGGAAAAGTAATTGAATAGCTGAATGGCTCTGGTGCGGCACGTGCAATGTGCCACCGACTGAGTTTTAGTTTTAGGACTTGCCAACCATCGAACTTTTTGGTCAAGGCGAAGGAGAGGAAAAGCTACCGAATTCCGCTCACGCAACGGGCCGAAAGGAGAGTGCGTTAAAAGAACAAAACATTCTTATGAAACTTTATAACGTGCCGCTGTCTTTTCATCTCCATTTTCCCCCAGCTAACTGTATTTTTTTCTCCACTTTAAATATGTTTTTCTTTTTTTCTCTCTCTCTCTCTGACCCAAATAGTTTTTCTGTTTCTGGGGAAGTTTTCCAATTGAAATTTCGGTTGTGTTCTGAAAGTGAATTGGAAACGAGGCGAGCCAATTAAGTAGTTTGAGTAGAACTCCATTGATGTTGCCTGGTGAGACATCATTTGTAAGACAACATATTTCATTGATTTGACTTTTGAATGAGTAATTACTTACCCATAAATCTTTAGTTTTGTGATAAATTCAAGCCTTTATTCGTTGATGTACTAAGTACCTTCCGCCCGATGACAGTTGCTAATTGAAAAGCACTTTGATATTTATGACAAAACGCAGTGTTGGGGCTTGGCTCAGCTAGCCTGTCATCGTTATTGTCTGCTTTTCCACTCTACTTCATTCATAATTCGCAATTATCACTTGGCTGGCAGCAGACAAACAGCTGAACATCACCAGGGAGTGGGGATACAGGGTACAGACAGCAGATTGCAATAGCAAGAACATCGTTTTGGCCAACAAACTATTTTCACTTAGTGGCTGCGAGGCGGTGGGGAGTGTTGGTGTCCTGGTTGGGCGCTGGCCAGGATTACGTGGCTCTTGTTTTTCAAGCCATTCTGATGTTTATATGCTTGTTATCCTTAAAAATCATCAGAGAATAAGTTGGAGAGTCTTTAACTATGATGGTGATTGGGGAATTTGTTCAGCTTTAAATCTTAAAAAGGTTGTCAGAAATTTGTAAAGATTGTATATTCATTTATATCGTATTTTAGCAATAAACATGAAAGAAAGCAAACTTTGCCCAGCCAAAGTTGGTATACCCTTGCAGGTAACAATTAAAATATATCATAACTAAGCCAAAAATGCATTAATTTCGATTCGGAAAGCAGTTTTGTGTTAATTTTTATTAATATAAAAAAACTGCATACCAAATTTAAAATTTTAAGAAATCAAAATGTTTGGCTTTTTTTGCTAATTTTAATGATGTAACCCCTTATCAAATTTCGCAAAAATGGCCAAAACATCGATTTCTTCCGGACATGTCTAGAAAGATTCGCATATTAATGCTGATCAAGAATAAATATTCTTTATGGGGTCGGAAATGATTCCTTGACTTAGAAAATTATTATTTTGTATTATAAAATCGGATTTTTTATATTAAAAAACTTATTGATTTTTTTAAAATTAAAAATATCATAACTCGGCCAAAAGAGCATTAATTTTAAATCGGAAAACTGTTCTGTGCAAGATTTTCTACAGTTAATAAATCTGCATACTTCAATTAAAAATTTTGAAAAAAATCGATTTCGTCCTGGCATATCTAGAAAGATTCCCCTGTTGATGCTGATCAAAAATATATATACTTTATAGGGTCGGAAACGTCTCCTTCACTGCGTTGCAAACTTCTGACTGAAATTATAATACCCTGCAAGGGTATAAAAATTAGTAAAATGTACAAACAAATAAAGGATATTATAATTGAATTATAATTTAATTCAAAAAGAACAGCTCCTTGGGCTCTATCATCTTTCTTTCCCAAATCTTAGCCGAATCGTCCAGCTTGGGCTTGAAGCAATAACAAGGATATATAATACGGGTCTCCAAGGGCTCGGCAGTGGCTCCTGGTCTAGGGGTTGTGGTGAACCTAAGCCTCTGATACCCTATACATATTAGAAGGATATTCTTTTATTAATTTTTTTTTTAATTTAATATTATTTAAAGTAAATATTTTACTTATTTTAAAACAATACTGTAAGTCTATGGGAATTTTTAAAACAAATTTCATAGAAATTGTTGTTTCACCATTTCTACGGCTTTTTAATAATTTCTAAAATATTTTTACCACTTAAATAATTAAAAATATATTTTCTAGAATTTATAATATAGTTCTAATAAGTCGTTAAATATTGTATAGCTCTAAAAACTCACATTTGTTTTGATAATACTGCCTCTGGAACCAGGTAAAGTTCCTATTGGGCCACTCTTGCCGGTACTGATCAGCCCACGTGGCTGCCAGACCAAAAAATAACAAATGCACCAAGGTCAGGAACATATCAAAGTATGGGAAAAACCCTCCCACGAGCCGTGGAAAAGCTCTGCCTAATGGCTTTCGTAATTATTGCAAGCAATTCGCTTCAGCCTAAGTAAGCGTTTAAAATTTAATTACACGCGAAAGGCACAAAGGCAGGGAATGCGATGCTCTATCGCAGGTGGGTCCCTGTGCCCCGACATCGTTTTCAAAATTTAATTAAAGCAATCAATTATAAAACACCCCCGCCGCCGCTGCCTCCACTCACACATGCCTACTTACGCGTTCGATGACTTTCCACGCTCAATAAATTTCACACGCAGCCTCTAGGAAGGAGGGAGAAATCAGGAGCAGGATCCTAGGCAGGACCTTCTGGGGAAAAAGCCAACTGTCTGCCTGGCTAGGGCCTGCAATTAGTTGCAACATAAATTTGGTCTAGGCTAGAGAAGGAGGAGAAAGCATGGTTTGAGCGGAAAATGTAGCCTATTGTTTGGCTTGGAAAATTTCACTAGGGACGGAGATTTTTGCTGAAAAAGTAGGTATTATAGGGTATGAAGTTTTAATTATTAAATTAATATTAAATTATTTAATATATTTCATTTTTATGCTAGCATTTTTTAACAAAAAATGTATTTAATATTTGATAACGTCCAAAGTTCCCTGTTTAATTACTTGCATTAAAATTTATTTAACTTCCCTTATAACCCCCTCAAAAAAAAAAAAAAAAATAAGATAAAATTTACAGTACCTAGTTGTTAACCCTTGAATATATTTAAAACTTTTTGCACTTCAATTTAGCAGTTGCTCCTCTGCCTAATTGAGATGCCCCCCTCAACCGTCCTACAGTAGTAGTTGGCGAGCAGAATTAATGTGGAAATGTTAAAAGTTCTTTAGTTCAGCCACCGGAACAGTGGAGAATATTCAGCATAGAATGCACTCCTCTCGGCAGCAGGACCACGTCAAACAAAGCTCATTTGTTTCACGGGCTTACAGCAGCAGCAGAAAAAAATGACCCAAGTTGAGGTCCAGCTTCGGCTTCATTTTCCCCAGGAAAGTTTCCACTGCTAACTGGTGGCCACATGCCGCACCGGACCCTGTCCGTGTCCGGCTCGTGTTAATAATGTGCTGCTATCAGTTTCCCATTAGTTGCTAAAATTAATTTGTTTACGTTGTGGCGGAAGCAGATGAAAAAAACAAAAAATAAATGCTGAGAGAGAGTACTAAACGAGTCGGTAGTGTGGCGAAGCGTGGCGGAAACTTGCTAATTAATTTCATTTGCCATGCGGTGTGTGTAGCTGCCTCATTTTTCTTAATTGCATGAAATATGCAGGCAGGCAGGCAGGAAGGCTATCACAAGCTACCAAGCTACCAAGCCGAAACAATAAGCATCCACATTAAGTTAAAGTTAATTTTATTATAAATTATTTGGCTTGAAGACTGGCCAGCAAATCACATTAGTCGCCCAGCCGCCTGCTGCGAAAGGGACCGACCGACCTCCAGCCGTCGAGCAGAAAAGGACCTCCTGCTGGGGCAATAATTTTATTTGATTTCATTTAAGTTTCGCTTAGCGTTCACAACTCTGCGGGTACCCAGGCCAAGTTTCAATATTAAACGGGCCGCAGGGCGGCTGTAAATGCGAAACAGTAATCCCGGCATTGTATTTACTTGACTTACGAGTATTGTACGAGTATTTCTGCTGCAATATGGCTCACTCAGACCCACTCCAGCCCGTATCCTTGGAGCTCTGGCATAATGATGCAAACGGAAGCGGAAATCTCAAATATCAGGCAATAAGCCAGCCTTTGTGGGGCTCCGGCAGCTGCAGCGGTCTGAATGTGTGCTTGATTATGAGTTTGCATGTTCAACATGTCGGCCCTCTCGGAGATGCATATGAACATAAATCCAGCTATATATTCTACTATATATGCTGCATAAACTATGCATTCGGAGAAGGTACAAGTATTCTAGCAAAACAAACATTCCCGGTTCTTGGTACTCTAACAAAACCCATCGCTCTAAGTACGGAATGAAATTCAAAGAATTTTTGGAAGTTTTAAAGGTTTTAAGCCCTGCAGCTGAATACCTGCGTATTTTACTCACACTCTCTCTTTCTAAACATTAAAGCTCACCTGGGAAATATGCAAAATATTTGCTTTAATGTGGCCTCGACAGTAAGCCCTGATTTTGGCCAAAACTTGCAAAAAGGTTTGACATTCATTTCGGGCCTGTCATCGGGCCATATTAGAAATTAGTTTGGAAATTACACAGGTGCACTGGGGGAAAAATATGACTCAAAAGGAGCTTTACAAATTTTTAAAAGAATTTTTACAATAGGAAAAAGGAATTATTTTGAACAAGATCTTCCCTAGTAATATTTTTAATAAAGTTTTAAAGACTTTTATGACAAAATTTAAGTTATAATTAAATAAATTATATATTTACCATGATTTTTATTTAGTTTTTAAGTATAACTTCGTTTTTATTTATTTTTCTATAGTCTAAAGTCAACCGTTTTCAAAGATATTTACCCATTAAAGGAATTTAGTTTTTTAAATAATAGAAAAATATATTTATAAATTTTTTAAAATATTTAATAAAATAAACACAACATTTTTCCATAGTTAAAAATCATAAATAAGTAAAAAAAAAATTTAAAATAATTGGTTTATATTTTAAAACCAACTGGAAAAAAAATGTAAGAGAAATCCTGTATTTCTATTTACAGGAAATTATTTTTGTACAACTTTTTTCCCACCGTGTAGTTAGGCTCAAAATATGGCAGATGAAGTGTGTCTGCGGGTGTTTTTGGCCACCGTTCACTTTGCTGGTGCCTAGGTGCAAACTACAAAACTGATTACGTGCATTAGCTGCCACGACCGAAAATTGTGGCACGCACGGCGTATACGTAATGTGGCGCAGCGCAGATGAGTTGTTTACAAACTGGCAGCTACAACACTGTAGCTGCGTGATGGCGGTTTTGGTTTTAGGATGGTACATGCTATTACGTTTGCCACTCTCTGCAATAAAGTTGTTGCCATATTTTGGTTACGCAGCACTAAACAGGGGAAAGTCCCCCACTGCCGCCCAGATCCCCAGCTTTATGAACTGGCAAGGAACACTGCTACTAGTGTCGCCAATTTTAAATAGCTGGCACGTGCACGTAGTATATATATAGAGTATTATTTTGGTATAGAAATCCCAGAATGCCAGCTACTCAGAGATGCATTTCACTTATTCACGTAGTGCGTGTTTATAGCACGTGCGCCACATGCCAAGCTGCAAGCTAAGCCACAGCAGAGCTTTAAATTGCACTCGAAATTTAGTTAGAACACTTCACTTACTTATGTATACGAGTACAAGTACAAGTCCATTAAATTATAAATTCCGCTTTGACGATGTCAGCCTTAATTGGAATTCAACAGGCTCTGACTGAAATCCAGGCTGGGGGGGAAAATAACTTCGTTTAAGGCTCATTCGTAGGCATTAGGCAGAGCTCTGGCTCAAAAGGAAAGGCGTTTGTCATACGTATAGATAAATCAAGTGACCGCTAGATGATAGGCAAACATTGTCACATAGCCTAGGCATCTCCTATATATGTATATGTCTCCCCTAATAAATCAATATGGACACGTCCCTCTGTTTGTGTATACATATATATATTCCTGGACAAACTCATTCGGTCCGGGGCTCAATCAGCTTATTTTCTAATATCCGTTTACAAATTATCTTCAAAAGTGTCAACAACAACAAAGCCAGACACGGACAAAGGCCAAAAGGAAGACATGAGCTGGGAAAACTGAAACCACAGCAAATAGAAATGCCAAATAAGAACGAAGGGACAAAACACATATGTATGTACATATATCCTGGCTAAAAGGACGAACAGAGAAACAGAAAAAAAAGGCCATTCGGGTCCCGGACATAAAGGCGTTGGGATCAACTGGCCGGGAATTAACATAATCATTACGATAATGTAATATGGCCATTGTGCAGTCCGTCCCGTCGCTGTGCATTTCCCAGGCAGTAGTAGTCCCTTTTTCCCGAATCGCAATCAATAAGTTGTCAGAAACAATCAAATAAATACAAACTGATATGTCAATATTAACTGACAGCCGCCCCTCACATGCACCATTATTCTGAACCCGAATTCGACTCGAATCCTTAACCGAAATCCAAGGCATTGGCCACCGGATATAGCCCCACCATGGGTGGCCATCCATAGGAGAGTCAGGGACCTTGAAAGGCCAAAGGGAAAAGGCAAGCGAAAAGTGCGTAAGAGGAACTTTTCCCTTTGAAGAAATGAAATGAAAATCAATCTACACCCTAACCTACCTCTACTCTATATTTTATATGTATTTTGGGTTGTATTTTTTAAATATTTTAATATGAATTTTGAGGAAGAAGAGGTTTATTGGAAGAAAATTTTCTGTAGAATTTTAAGATGGAACACAGAATATTCTAGTACATTTTTTTTAAACTCTTACAAAAAAACTATGAAATCTAAACTAGTAAAAAATCATCTCAAAAAGAAATTCCTTTGCCCATAGTTTTCTCCTTAAAATAGCCTTGAGGAAACTAGAGATACGCAAAACAAACACCAAAACCAACTGCCAAAGGGATCATGCCACACACACGCACAACAAAACTTCCTCCGACTTCCTCTAGGGAAAATGGGAAAAAGGGGGGAACAAAAAGGACAAGGGGAAACATGGGGAAAACATAGTGAAAGCTGACGAAAAGCTTGCCAAAGGTCGAGGCGTGAAAATGCGGACAGGCGGGCGGACTGAGATTATGCGTAAAATTCTACATGTGTTCCGGCCGAGAAGCTCCAGCTGTCTGGCCGCAGGACTCCTCTGGATTCTGCTTAGGTATGCGTGTAATTGGGTGGCTGCCCATTGCCAAAGCCATTGCCGGCGGCGACCTTTTGCGGAGGCATATTGGGTTTCAACTATATCCTGACGAGGGAGGTGCCCCAGCGACAGCTTACTGTGCACCCTTTTCATGGCTTTATGTCTTTGTAAAACGACAAGGCCAACCTTAACCCCATATACCCCTCATCCAGAGCAAGAAAATAATTTTCTGCTATATGTATTTTTTTTTTTGTTCCTTCTTCCGGAGCTCGTTTTCAAAATGGAGAAGGGCAACCGGAACCAAGCACGCATGTTAGTTTATCCCTTTTCTATTTTTTTTGTTGTGCAAAATCCTCGCCATCTCTCAGACATATGCACAATCAAAGTAAGAATTTATTGTTTGTTATCGCCGGGGACTAGGGAAATAAAGAGTAGAAACTAGAACTGCGACCAGGGTCCATAAATATTCCCCTGGATGGTACACAGGTTTTATTGAATCGGGCTTATAAATGGCGCCATTTGGCTTAAGTGCCGCCCAGTTGATTGTTGGCCTGACAAATTAATAACATAAATTTTTAACGCCTTCTGCTGACTCTGTGTTTTGTGTTTGTTTTTGTTTTTGTTTCGCTTGCAGGGGCACATCTGGCATTGATATTGACTTGCGGCGCGTGGACATCGACCAGTGCCCGCAGCGCCACACGCCGGGCACCAAGCGACCACTGAACATCTTTGCTGGGACGGATAAATGCAAGCAAAGGACCACAATGGTAAGGGAATACACTGAGGGAAATTATAGATATCACAAGTATATATAATATAAAAATATAATGATTCATTTTGGTGGAAATTTAAATTGAAATGTGAAGATTTTAATGACAATTTAAAAAGAGAAAAGTTTAGGTACCAAAATAATGATTGTTTTTATACAAGATCATGAAACCTTTTTGTTATATAAATTTTTCTTTATTTCCACTACCTTTTAAGCCCGAATTTTCCTCACAGTGCAGTACCCTCTAAATTCTCCACAGTCAGCACTTAATTTTCATCTCTCATTTAACATTTTCCTCTCCGCCCTGCTTTTCCGTATCGCAGTGCGAGGCCATCATGGGATTGGGTTTTCGGCGCGGCTCCTACAAATGCCTGTGCCGCAAGGGATTCTACTTTCCCGACGTGGTCTCGCTGCACAAATTCTTCAACGGGAGCCTGTTGGAGGAGGAATACGAGAAGCTGATGCTGGTAAGTCGGAGCCAAGTGGCCGACGTAAGAGCCTTATTCTCATTAAATATGTATTAGGGCAAGAACTCGACGTACAATAGCAACAGCGAGTACGAGTGCCTGCCGTGCGCCGAAGGATGTGACTCCTGCGAGGACTCCTCGCCCTGCATAGCCGCCCTCAACTGGCCAATGCGCACCAGCATCCTGGCTTTGGCCTGCATCGTGATTGGCCTCCTGCCGCCGGCGGCCTGGTTCACCTTCCGCTACCAGCAGGTTAAGGTGAGTACCGCCGGGAGTCACCCCTCAGGGAGCCATAAGTATTTCAACACCCCGATAGGAATCTGGGTGAGAAATCAAGTCAGCAAGTCGCTTTGAGGAAGGAGCTCAGTGTTTTTGCTGACGAGGAAGGAAGTGGGGGAAATTAAGTTCATTTTCATTAAAGGTTTATTTTTATGAGATTTTCTTGTTCTAAATTATTATTATTAGATATTCTTTTATTATTTAAATATTATTTAAGGTTAATAAATATACATTTTTTCGATTAAAGGTTTTCTTATTGGTTTTTCTTTTAAATTAATAATTAGTTCTAAGCTATTAAAATATTTTCCAATACTGATTTATAACAAATTTTAGCTTTAATTGAATTTACAACAGACTAATCATAGTTTTCCCTATTTTGTTAGCAAAGAAAACTTCTTTTACAAACCCCAAATATTTTTCCCTCTGGTCCTCGCAGGTGAAGGCATCCTAATCCGCTTTTGGCAAAAGCCACACACTGCCAGGACGAACGTTTCGAATCACAGTTGTGGAATTAAAAGCTCTGATAAATCACCTAGAGTTCCGACCGAAATTGTTAAGCCATTATAATGGCATTATCCCCGGTCAGCTTGTTTTCTTGTTATTTTTTCTCTATTTTTTTTATATTTTTTATTCCATTTCATTGTTTTTATTTTCTATGTTTGTTCATGGCTCTGTCAAATTCCGCTGATCCTTTGGCCGGGCCAAAACCTAAGCTGTTGTCATCAATGAGCCGCTAAGCGGCTTAGCATTGTTAGAATCAAGTTAATTTTGTACGTGGCCTGGACAGGACATCCTGCCCGATGACAGGCGGCCAACAGGATATTGTCGCGCATAAACGGAAGTGCAAACATTCGCACAGCTTGCCCATGTCCATGCCCATGCCCACTTCCTGTCGCCAGGATGCATGTTGGAAAGGTCCCAGGTCCTGACTTTGTGTAGAGAGAGTGTGTCACTCGCTCATTAGAAGGACGAGGACCAGCAAGTCCTGCAAGCTGGCGGCGTCCAATTGTCTCTGGCACTCGGGATTTAAACCATTCGCAACTTTGTCTTGCACTGCGGATGTAATATAGAGACACTGAGAGAAATATAATTAACAGAAATTAGGGTTTAAATTATTAAACAAAAAAATATAAATTATAAAGATATAATTAAAATAAAATATTCTTTAAAAATCTATTTTACTTGTATTTAGTTTCTAAATTTTCTAATTTCTCTCTTATTTTCCCGAGTGCCCAGCTAGAGTGTGCAGGAAGTGAGTTATTTTATTCCCTTGTCGCTGTCTGACATTTGTGTGCTGTCTGCTGTCCCTATACCCCAGACCCCAGTCCCAGTCCCCAGTCCCCACCACAGCCCTACCACATCCCTATCCTGTTCCACTTGCCCGCTTCTCGCGTCCCAAGGCAACTGGCCAACTAAACTGTTTTCATTCGTAATGCGATTCTGTCGCATTTGTGTCTCTCCCTTCAATGTCTTTCTGTCCCCATGTCCTTGCTGGTGTGTGTGTGTGTTTGTGCCCAAACTAATTAAATGGCGCTAAACATGCCGCCCAACATCCTGCCAAAAGTGTGTGGAGAGAGGTTTGGTTCGGAGTCCTAGAGTCCCGCTGTGATTTTCTTCCTCCAGTCCTGTGAAATTGTGCAGATTAAACGATTTCAATTTAAATTTACAAAGTTTTTCCGTTCAAGGACTAATTGGAAATGTTTTGTTTTGGATTTTCTTACAGGTTGTGAGGGCCGCTAGTCCTGCCTTGTTGAGAGTCATTGCATTGGGCGCCTTTTTCATTTACTGCACGGTAAGTAAATATTTAAGAATGTCTTTTTTATTAATGGATTTTCAATAAAGTTTAGAGGATTAGGAAATTGAGTGTACAGTAGATTACAGGATTTTATCAGAGGGAAATAAACCTTTTAAAAGGACTTGTTTTAGTTAACGTTTACACAGAAGACAGACAGAAGACTTCAAGCGCTTTTTGGGAATTTATTTTTAAAATAAGTAATGGTTATAAATAAATGAAATTTTGATATGAAACACACATTTTTTTAGCTAGAAAAAGCAAGAAGGCTTCTTCAAAGCGCTGAGTATTCAAAGAGCTCACCTAAAAAAGTAATAGCTATTTAAATAAATAAAATTAAAAAATATTTAAATACTTTAAAAAAATCTTAGAAATTTAACAAATGTTTAGAGGTCATAAAAAATATTTAAAAAATATTTCCAGCCCTTAAAAATGTGCCTAAAAAATTTTTTAAATTATAGAAAATGTTTAAAGATCAAAGCAAAATATCTCAAAAATATTTCCTCAGCATTATAACTCCTTAAAGTTGTGCTTAAAACATTCTAAGAATTACACCAAATGTTTAGAGATTATAAAAAAAATCTCTACAAAATATTTTCACAGTATTATAACCCCTCAAAGTCTTCCTCCCATGCTAGCCAGTGCAATTCAACAATTTAATACCATTTGAGCGGCATAATCGATGGCTTTCACTGCAATTCCGAATTAATTAAGAGCCTTCGCATAGATGCAGAAACCGAAAACTGAAACATTTTGCCAGCCAAAAGAGTCTCTCTGTTGAACATCATTACAACTCAATGGTGCGCTGGGGAGAAGTGAGATTCATTCAAAATTCGAAGCCATAAATCGCCACACAATTTGCATGCGGTGAAAAATGAGATAGCAAACCGCTTGCCAAACAGAGCACTCGAACCCAATTCCCATCAATTTCTACACAATTTAATTTGATTGATTTATGGCCCCGGACTGAGACCGAGAGAGAATGCAAACTAATGGGATGCTGGCCAAATAAACAACAACTTTAAGCGAGTCCATTTGGGGGGTGGGTGGGGGCAGGATTTATTTATGTACTATATATATTTATTTGTGGCAGATTTATTTAGTATCTCCTGCACACACAATAGACATACGATGAGGGTCCTGCTGTCAGCAGAGTTTGCCTTATGATTTTTTAATATGTGTGCAAGGCGTGAAAAGAAAGAAAGCTCCCCAAAATAGAAGCCAAATCCTCAACACCACCATCACTACCTATTGTCCTTGACAAAGCTGCCAGGAGCCAGAGAGGCTATGAGGAGGTCGAAGCCTATTGTCACATGTGTGGCTGGATTCCATTGAACCCGATTGTCTGCCATCATCCATATCATTAGCCAATGCCTATTATTTCCCCCAGAATGACTCATAAATACAGTACTTGACTCTGCTGTGGGTATATTGATATTTTAAAAGTATTTAGCTTGCAATATATATTTGAGAAAAATTTTGCAGGCTTCGCTGAAAGCAGCAATATTTCAGGGTTTTTTTCTTTATTGAAGTTTAGTGAAAGGAAGCCTTATTGCAACAGAACAAAAAGATGAACTTGTATGAAAATTATTGTGAAAAGAAACAGTAAACTCAACAAAAATCTCTTAAGGTAGTTTGTAATTATATATTCTCACACTCTAAATTATTTATTGTCTTTTATATATGATCTTAAATGTATTTATTCCCACCAGAACATTGTGATGTATCCCAATCCCAACCTCTACACCTGCACTGCTCGCATTTGGCTCCGCGAAATAGGTTTCTCCTTGACTTATGGAGCTCTGATGCTCAAGACCTGGCGGTAAGATATAGTTAAACCCCTATAAAACACCTTAAAATTTCTTAAACTTCCCTTTAATCCCCCCCCAAGGATCTCGGTAATTTTCCGTGTCCGGTCTGCCAAGGCTGTGAAAATCACAGATGCCGCTCTGCTCAAGAGACTGGGCATCATTTGCGGGGCCATTGGCACCTGTCTGCTGGTCCGTACTCTTGTCTCGCCGCCGGACGTGGTCGTGGGACGCACTGCCGATGACCTTAAGGCATTTCTCTGCAAAACGGACTGGTGGGACTATACATTCACGTCAAGTAAGTGGGGGTATCCTTAATACAATATGGCTGATGGTCTGGAGCTTGATTGGCCTCCGCAGGGGGGCCCTTTCAAGGTGACTCCATAAGAGAGCAGCCCCGAAATTCAATGCCCACGTAACGTATACGCATTGTTGGCCGGGAAATATGAATTTCGAAGGAAGCCAAAAGGCGGAATGCAATAATGCAATGGCAAATAAACGTTGCCCAGCCAACCGCCAAGAGCAAAAGCGAAAAGGGAACACCTGCTGCTTCAAGTAGTTTTCACTAGATTTTCAATAGCTTTTCCTTGCTTTTTCCAACTTTTTTTGCTGGTAAAATCTAGGTGAGAGTTTTCAAGCTATCTTTTGGCATAGGGTGGACCTTTATGAGTTACATTTTTGGATATTTAATTTGTGTTAAAATATTTTAAATTTTTTGGTGTCAGAAATATTCAAATTTCAAATTCTTTGTATCCTTTAAAGCCCTAAAATAAACACTTAAACACTTGCAATATAATCTTATAGTATAGAAAAAGTTATTGTGCCATTTTATTTAGCATAAACTGTTTTTAAAAATCTTTTTTTTTATACCCAAAACACCTTAAAGGTTGGTCCTCTCTTTTACATACAAGTGTATGCTTTTCTCCGCCTTTTTCCCCGCCTTACCAGAGATATTGGTCCGTGCCAAAATCCATGTTCGCGCCACGGTAGAGTGGCTTTTTCAAGGAATCCCTGCGTTCCACTTGCTAGCTCGCTTAATTAAAAAAGTTGAGGCAATAGCGAGTGCGAGTCCTTCCTATCCTGCAGAACAATTATCGCCGTTCATCACGCACTCGCACTGCAGCTGCCAGATGCTAAATAACTTCATTTGACTTTGCAACAAGCCAGAGAGCTTGTATTACATTTATAATTGCAGCCCTGAACAGTTGCCAAAATTAAAAAGGAAAAATAATAATAATACATGCACTTTCATTTCGCTGCCAAAAAAAAAAAAAAGGCTTATAAAGTGAAGCTACCACTAGAAAATGGGGCCACACAGAGTGGTAGTTAATCATAATGTAATTACAACTAATTTTTTTTAATTCAACTTCAAAGCGAAACTACGGCAGCCAGCAAAGTGCACTCAAAGGAACTAATCCCTGGCCTTGTCTTGATCCCTTTTTTCCCCCCTCTTCTTTCCAGTGGAGGTCTTGTTCCTAGCCTGGGGCGTTCGTCTGTGCATTATGGTGCGAAAGGCTCCATCAGAGTTCAACGAGAGCCGCTTCATATCCATGGCCATCTACAATGAGTTCCTGCTCACCTGTTTTCTCAATGTGTCTATGTGAGTAGGGGAAGGTTTTTGAGTGAAAAATTATGAATTAAAACATCTAAATAATTCCCTTTTCTCTTACAATTCCAGGCTCTTTCTGCAGTCTCCCGCCAATCCGGATTTGCTGTACATCATCTTCTTCTGCCACACCCAGTTGACGGTGACTCTACTGCTGGCCCTAATCTTTGGCAGCAAGGTAAGTGGTCCTTCTCCCCTTCCCTTGCCTCGTTTATTCCGATTTCCTCTATGATCTCTCTCTCTCTTCATCTCTTTGACATCAGGTGTACATCGTTCTGAGGAGTGGCAAATCGCACCAGGAGAACATTGGCCTGGGCACTAAGGCATCGGGGGCCAAATTCAATTTTCGTCCTCAAGTGCGCACCTTTGCGAATCCCAGTTCGGTGACCACCTCCACCGTACCCGTGGCGGGCACAACGTCAGCAGGTAAGTGTAGAAAGGGAAGGGGAAGAGGGAAGTCTAGCCAACAGAGTGCTCTGCTAGCGATAGCCAAAACGGGCAATTGGCCCATTTGTCCTAATGGGCCGCAGCGAATCGACGTTTATGACAAACGACAGTGTCCACTTGACAAATAATCTGTGGAGGGCAGGATACAAAGAAAACTTCCCTGGAACCTCTTGGACTGCACTGAGCAAAAAAATATGTACTAAATTAAGGAGTTAATAAGCAGAGTAGCAGAGAATAAGAAGGGGTCCTTCATTAGACACATGTGATCTTATTTAAGAATAGAATTTAGTTTCCTACTTTCTACCCCAACTTTTTCACAGTGCACTGTCAAGAAGGTCTCGCTTTTTCGTTGATTCTTATTAATGGCTTAGTATTTGACAAATATCAAATAATTTGTATAGAAAATCAATTCAAATGCTAACGAGAAGCAAGTAAAGACCTTGAAAAAAGCAACAGAATTTGTTTTTTTCTTTTCATAAAAAATCCTTGGGAATATATTATATTTAAAATAAAAACTTCACAGTTCACTGCTGCTAAACTTTTAGACTTTCTCTTATTTAAACCCAATTTTTTTCCCCAGTGCTTGTGTCGATTAAGTCTTCTTGGTTGCTTTGACTTTTATTTATGGCGTATTATTTGGCAAATTAAAAAATGAGCGGAACAGGCGGCGTCAGTGGCACGCTTATCGCCGCTGTCTAGACATGAGCCGCGGATGGCCTATCCTCCTATCTGGTTGACAGCCCCGGATGCTGATTTATGTGCTCCAAAACAATCTGGGCTGCGGTTGGCCTGGAGTACCGGGAGACCGTATGTGTGTGTGTGTGTGTGTGTGTGTGTGTGGGTGCTTTCACGGCGGGAAGCAGCTACAAAGCACAAACTTCCGCCAAGTTGCCGCCGACGCCATATTTGTTTATCGCTTCGCTGGCTTTGATGCATAAACAACTATGCGAACTCCCTGGAGGATCCAAATAGACCAAAGCTTTGGCGGGGGAGGAGGTTAGGAGGTCAGGTGGGTGTGGTTGTGGGTGTAGGTGCCCTTTGGCTTCCACCCTTACCCCAAGGAATTTGGATAACATTGAGCGTGGGCGGTTGTCTTTAAAGTGGCGCCTCGTTTGTAATTGAACTACAAATTTACGCAGATGCCAGGGCAACCGTTGGGCCAATCAATTTTGATTAGAATTCCAAACCGAAGCCCGGGTTTCAAGTATCAAATTTTGGCTCTGGCACTAATTGCTCAAAGTTTTCGCGTTTCCTTATGCCAGAAAATTGTTCGCCTCATTGTCGTTACTAATAATAAATTATATTGAAAGCAAAACTTGAAAGAGAATATGATATTAGCTAAAGGCTAAAGCTAATAATGTTTATACACAGCAATGCTTAACTAATTTATATGCTAAGATGGGGGAAATATTTTAATCACAAAGTAGAAATAACTTAAGATTTTTGTTATTTAAGTGCTGGTAGTTGAGGAACTTAAAGGAAGTTTTGATGAACTTGTAAAATTAAACTAAATTCCGACTATTATATAATATATTTTAATTTTTAACACACTTTATATGGTACAGAAACGGAAAACCGTTGAAAAATATATAAAATAAGATGCATAACGACATACAATAATTTTAGCTCTCGATTTTTTAGGGCTGCAGACTATTTTTAATTTTCTTTAAAAGTTTCTTTATTAATTTTTGCAGAAAAAATACTATCTATTTATTTGTTTACTTTTTCTTTATGTAAATAAGAAGTGTTTTGTATAAAAAAGTTAATTAAAGTCCCTTTTTAATGTAAAACCTGAAAAACCTTTACAAAAAAATTAGCCATGAAAAGATACATTTCGAAAGGAGGTAATTTCCAGCATTATGGGGCTATAGCCCACTGAAAGGTGGCTCCTTTTTTTCCTGAATCATCCTGGCTCCCATTGTTATCGCAATGTTTTCTATTCGCGAACCTTTTTAATTTTCAGGAAGTTTATGGCATAGAGAGAGCAACGCGACGCTTTATGTTTTAATGCTTTATAGGCTCTCGGTCGCCTGCTCTCTCTTGACGTTTTTTATTTAATTTTTTATTACTCGTATTTCTATTTAAAAACACAAAAAAAGTAACGCGTTTTTGTGGCTGCGTAAATTGTGCGTTAAATTTACATTTTTTTCTTTTTTTTTTTTGTTGTGAGCGAGTCCTTGTCGCTGGGCCGGTTTTTTAAGCGTCACTCAATTTGCATATTTAAATTGAACAATCACAAAGTAGCAAACACTCAGCACACCCACACACACACACACACGCATGCCGATTGTGTGTCTGTGTGGCGAATTTAAAATATTTCCCAAGCGGAAAAGGAATATTGTGTTGCATACTAAGAGGGGCACACATAATAAATTCAATTTTGGCCACTGTCGACTCTCCTCCGGTCCACTCTGCTCCGCTTAATTTCACAGCCATAAATCTAAATTCAACGGACAACAGGAAGAAAGCTTTGTGCGGCTAATACACTGACCGGAAATGGGGGTTGCCTTTCACTCAAAATGAAATGAAAGAAGAATGTAGAAAGTCCTGTAGCATTTACTTTCAGTGTGCGATTTTTCATTGTAAATTTATTTGTTTTTCTTTCTTTATTATTTGAAAGTTGATAGCGTGAGTTGTGTTGTTGCCTTTGAGTGGACGTGGCTTAAATCATACCGACAGGCTTTCAGCCGAATTGAACGGCCATTTATCATTCCGACGGCGAAAGAGGAAGCCGTGAGTCTCGAATCTCAAGTCTGAAAAGCCACAACTTTCCTTGCCACACATCCACAGCCGCTACAAACATTACGCATTTAAATTTGAGGTCCTTTTTTTCGTAGAGGGGGTAAAAGGGAGCAAAGGGAGGAAAGTGCGAAACTTTTGACACGGACGGGCAACTTTTTTAGTGCAAAAGTTGGCCAGCGGAAAACAGGCAGCAATGCCTTTTTAAGCCGCGCGAAAACGATGCTTTCAGTTGAGATTTTGGGATCGTATTTCGACTGCATTCGTAGCGACATTTGGTTAACATTTTCATTTAAAACTTGAGTTTGGGGATTTAGAAGTAAAGTTTCAGGTGTGACTTTGAATGCTTAAATTAATTTTGATTCGCACTTTCAAGTTGTAAATATTTAAATCACTTCTTTGTAATATCAACATAAACTATAACCTTTAAATATATATTTTCTTGTAATCCTCAGAAAACAAACTCTCCGACCAGGAGGCCCTGGAGGAGATCCGCCAGCTCAGCATGCAGCTGCAGCGCATCCAGGAAATGGCTCCGCCCAAGGGTGTGGCCGTGATGACCATCTCCAGTTTGCTAGATGGCCTCAAGACACCTGGTGGCCTCATGGTGGTGGCAGCAGCTGCTGGAGCTGGCCACTCAGCCTCGGCCGCCGCCAGCAGGCAAAGTGCTCTGCCCCTGCTGGCCCTCAATGCCGAGATGCAGAAGTACAGCCAGCAGAATAACAATGCCAATGGCAGGAGCAGTGCCCGAGCCAGTATACCCACCATGGTGCTGGAGACCCCGCCCAGCTCAACACCTCCCTCAACGGCCTTTGAGGAGCGGGCCATGAACACCGAGCTGAGTGGGGATGACTTCCGGGAGCAGCTCCTCAGGCGAACTGCCGATGGGCATATCATCTGCAGCAGGTGTTTGGATGCGTCCAAAGAGCACTACTACTGCTGTCCACCTAGGAGTGTCTGCGACCATTTGGGTTCACCGCAACAGGAGGCTGGCGGCAGTCTCAGCTTTGCCAATATCAAGCTGGAGTGCATGTGCTCACAGTCAGAGGACCTGGACCAGGATAGGGATAGGGATCGGGGGGACCAAAGGCAGCGCAGGCCTACTGTGAGAACGGCAGCCACTAATACTCCCCCCACCAGCTGCAAGCGGGCTCCAAGGAATCTCCTCGAAACGGAGCTCAGCATTTCGTATCAAATTTGTGATAATTGTAGAAGTAAGTACAAGCTGACGGGTCGAAGGAGAAGTGGCAGCTACTCCCAGGCCCAGGCCAATGCCCAGCTCTGTCAGCAGCAGTTGCCGGGTGTCCCTGCCATACAGTCCCGATCCAGTGAGATCCTGGATCGCACAGCCACCGCCGGCGATGTGGAGACGGAGTCTAGGACCAAGGCTGCCCACTCCACGGATGATATTGTTCTCTACTCGAGTGCAGAGAAGGAGTTAAAGGAAGGAGAAAGAGTGGATCAGCTGGAGGAGCCTGTGGCAGCTCCTTCTCTGGGGAACGTGTCCGTGAACTCCAATAACTCCACAAGTCAGACGGACAGGACCAGTGGCAGTGGCGGCAATTCGCGACCCAAAAGACCGGATAAGCTAGTCCTAGATCTGAATGATAGGTCCAAGTACACCAAGGAGGTTTCCGTGTAAAGAAAGGAAGGATAGTTAAATTTTTAAATTGATTTTGAGGCGGAATAACTGAGATACACCACAAAAATATCCCATACAAATTCAAGAAGCTATACTTTTTGATGTGTAAATACTTAAAATAATTTTCCAGATTTTCCATAAACTTAAAGCTTGAATTTATAATTTGTTCATGTACCATATATATATATGCATTGTTGAAGGGTATAATTTTGGAAATAAATTTCCCAAGGCAACCCGAATTTATACCTTTAAAATACAAACCAGTTTCTTCATTAGGTTTCGGCTTTAAAATTTAAATCAGAAATGTTTTTTTATGCTTAGGCCAGTTGAAAATAAAAATAACAAAACAAAAATCACCAAAGACTTTATTAAATTGTATTTATAGATAAAACTGATTGATTTAGCTAACTATAGGGTTAAGTTTAGGGCCCAAAACACCTGACTTTCGGAAAGAGGGAGAGCTGTGTGTGTGTGTGTGTTTGTGTGATTTGCAATTTGCATTGCTAAGCGAAATCATCATTTGCAACTATAATGAGCCCCGTGAATATATGTTGTGAATATATTTTGCATTTGGCAAACATGCAGAGAGCAAAAGTCAACAACATTCTGCCTGAAAGTCATTTGTTTTCGGTCGGAATTTAATTAAATTTACATTTTCATGTATGTAGATAATTAAATCCAAATTGCTTACTAATGGAAAAGCTGCAGCGAGACATTTCCCATGAAAATGATTTAGATAATACTCATAATGATGGTGGTAAAATGCATTTGCTGTTATATTTATTAAGTCATGTTTAAGTGCCGAACTATTCAAAATGGAAGCCCAACCACACACAGACACTGTAAAATATAATATATAAAAATAAATATAAAAGTTGATGTGAACTGTAAAATACACATATCCTCCTTGAAAACTCACACAATACCTTCCAACCCCCTTATAATATAGTGAGTGAATAACGTTTAGCCCTAATTGTAGCTACAATTAAATACTATATTAATTAGCTGTCCTACACTTAGTGCTGCAAAAAAAATAAAAAATTAAATTGAATAATCTCCAATTCAATGCTAACAATTGCCCACCCCCCTGCCCTGCCACACATGCAAATTAAAATTAAATTTAGAAGGAATCAGATGATGTACGATATATTTATGTAATGTAGTTAAGCGTTGCTGTTATCGAGTTGAAAAATACTTGTGTGTGTGTGTGCGGCAGACAAAAAAAAAACGTTTGTTTAAAGCAATCCAATAAATGGCGAATCTACTGAATAATGTACCGAGTACCCACCGACTTTTGTTGATTACAAATTTTAGCAGCACAAAGAACACAATGTTGTTCTCTAACGACTTCATTAAGTATACGCAGCGGGGTACCAGCCTGCATTTCGGGTGAGTATCTCCACCTAGTATCTATATTGTATGTGTGTGTGTATCTGTGCAAAGTGTTTTGGCGCCTTTTTGCGCTTTATGAGCACGTTATGGTTTTTATCTTTATGGACATGCCTGCGTGTGACCCTTTTTTGCCATTTATGCCTGCCATTCCGGGAATGCCTTTTCAACTCGAAACGAGAATGTAGCCGGTTTTTTTGAAGGAGACGTTAATTTAAATGTTTTACGGCCTCAAACGGATATGTTTGGTCTGTTTGTTTTTGTACCTAGTACTTAGGGGGAAGAAGGGTATTTATAACTCTGTGTGGACTGTATGAGATAAAAGATCTCAGGGACTATAAGAGATAGGGTACCCTTTTTATTAAACTAAGATAAAAGCTATTGTTTTGGATTAAGTGAAACGTAACATTTGAGAAAGATCGGTTGATAAACCTGCAAGTTATTTCAATACAAAGTTTCCAACTTATATTTCTATCTTGCTCGCACTCCCTTAAGGTGTTTAGTCAAGTCCCAAACCTTGGTTACGAACTTGAATGATCCAAATTGCTTTTTTATTAACTCTATATTATTTTTAACACTTTTATTTGTAAAGTAAATCAAAGTTTCCATTTCTTAGCCAGGTATCCCTTAGTCGATCATCTTCCCATGTTTCCTTCTTTCTAACTTGCTTTGTTTTCTTTACATTTTGCTTTGTTTTGTCTTCTGTTTGTGTATCAAATTAAACTTCAGCAGTCAGGCAGACAACATTAGTGTTATCAGGCATTCGAAGGACATCCAGGATGCGTGCGTTGTCTGCGTTCCTGTGTGTGTGTGTATTGAATTTTAAGCACTCGCTTTTGGAAAAGTGAAAATTCATTTCGAGCCGCACGTCCTAAGAGTTTTCTTTAAATTGAATTTCAATCATTACACCATGCCAGATATTTCCGAAAATAAAATATTTAATATATATATATACTTTATATATATCTGCCTTGCTGCGAGTAATTTACAAACGAATTTCATCTTCGCAGTTCCAGCACGTGACAACATTAATTAAACTTTCAACATATGCGTGTCAGCCACATGCCCCGGCTCTCTTGGCTCGCGGAAAATGGAAAATTCCGGATGGTAAAAGTGCGTAACTAAGGGGGCGAGGTGAAGCAGCCACCAACGTAATCGTGCCTGTTTCCGCTGCGGGCCTGAAACAGATTTTTATTTTTATTTACTTTTATTTTCATTAACTTTTTCGTCCCGGCACCATAGCCCGAAAAATATCGCCATTTATTGGCGGGAATTGTAAATCGGTACATTTTCAACTCAACTTTCACTATTTTTCGTTTAATTGCCCCCAGAAAAAAAATATATCTCTATAAAAAAAAAACAAAATTGAGGGGTTTCCTGATGAAAAGCAATTATTTAGTGCCTCTAATGGAAAATAGTTCTTAAATAAAAAATATTTAAATTCTTTCGTTGTGCAAGAAATCACTAAATATATTATTTAAAAAAATATTAAATCGATTTTAGAAAATATTTAATGATTTACTTTGAAAATAAACCTAAACCTAAACCTAATTCTTTAAATTATATCATTTAAATATTTGTTTAACTTTAAACCTCCCACTAAGCTTAAAACTATTTAAATTAGGCTTTTGAATTACTTAAAAAATTGCTTTTAAAAATATTAAGGTTATAAATCCCCCTTTAAGGCAGCTTGAATCGAAATTCCTGGAAGATTTCATAAAATTTAATGACCAAAGGCGCTGGCCACTTGTGAAGGAGCTCCCAGCGAGGGGAGGCATTAGGATCGTTTAATTAAACGCCTGTTGCAGAAGCCGGGACACCGAAAAGTCTGAGGACCTCTCCTTTCTCCTACCCAAAAACTGGGTCATAAATTTCAAAGCGAATTGAGTGACGGTGCTGAAAGGGAAGGCAGGATGCGAGGTGGCTGTTTTTCAAACAAAGAAAATGGCACTTACCAGAAAACACAAATTGCTTTTTGCTTTCTTTTTTTTTTGCCATCTGGCAATTGCAAAATCTTCAGCAGAAATTTATTTCCATGTCGATACTGCTGCTGCTGGTGAAGCTGCTGGTCTTTGATGGCCAGCTTGCTTTGTTTTGGACCTGGTCTAAAGCCAGTGCGTTACGGCGTATTTCAAGGATTTTTTCCATCTCTTAATTACGGCTATAAATGCCAATGGCAATTTCTTTGGCATTAAATAAGAACATGTTAACGACCTGCCAAGCCTTCAAACAGAAAAAAATAGCAAGTGCCTGCATAAAAAAAAGGAAATATCACACACACATGCCCCGAAAAACAATTGGGAAAGTCCCTTTTCCTCTGCCGATCGAGTAACAACAGGCTGTGTCCTGGCAAGGACACCGCTTGTTGGCTCACGTGCGCCTGGGCGTGGAGCCAATTAAAATTAAAGGAGCCTCCTACGGGCATGTGGGTGTGTATGCTGCGTATGTGTTTGTGTGTTTTGTGTTAGCCAGAAACCAATAAAATAAAATTGCCAACACCTTATTAACAGCAGCTGCCTCTGCAGGAAGCTGCCAGCTAAATGGGCTTACAAGTTGTTTCTATTTGCTGCTTTCGGAGCTTTCAATATGCTTCTCAAAGGACGAATCTGTTATGGAATTATATTAGAGCTAAGAAGTTGGCTAAATTGATATTTTCAGGGTACTTAATAGTAGAAAATTGAGACTATTTCCCCTAGAAATACAAATTTTTAGTTAGTTTTCTGCTTGATAATTTCTTAAAAGTACTTTTAAAGACCTTTCACAAGCAATATTTACAGAAGAAATACCCTTTAAACCCTTTAATTGAATATGAATACCTACATATGTAAACTCTTAAAATCAAGTTCCCTGGAAAACAAATAAAAAAATCTAATCAAAATTCATAGAAATTCACTTAGATGTTAAGCCTATTCACAGCAAATTCGTTGACTTAAAATATGGACTTTAATTGCTTTCCATTGTTTGAACTAGTTTGCAGTCCAATCTCTCTCTCTCTCACCTGCTGGTCGAGTATTTAGGAAAAAGAGAGCTTGGCATATGTTGCACAGGTATTTCAAGGATTGTTACACAGATGTTTCCATGTATCTGTCGAGGATTTCAGACTGCAACGAGAGCTTGGGAAAATATTTTTATTGTGCATATAAAACACGGTCAAAACTCGAAGGAGAACTTCTGGCAGACACCTCTACCTTCTCACTTATTCAATGCAAATGGACTTCTAAGGGACATTGAATTTTATGCCCCAGTGGGGAAGGTCCTTAAAGTCGTGTGTGTGTGTGTGTGTGTGTAATGTGCTCTCCGACACTTGAAGCCACGCACGCAGCCACACACAATTGCATTTATTCGCACACGTGAATTGCATTAGATAGTTGCCAGGACATAAACTAAATCTGCCTGCAGTGTCAGGATCCCAGACTCACGGCTGACAGGTACTGGAACTGAAAGCGACAGCAGCTCCAGGCAGGATATTTGCATTAGGGATGAGCTAGTGATTGTGAAAATGTTGTTTAAAATAAGTATATAAAACCTTTAAATAAAGAAATAAATTCTTAAAACAATATTACGGACTTAAGTAAATTCAAGTGATTTATTTGAAATATATCTCCAAGGATTCTAGCAGCCGGAAGTTAGCCATCTCTAACCGGAAATACAGCAATTCCTTGACGCTGCACACTTCGGCTTCAGTTCCTGCTCTTACTTACGTTTACGTTCGGATTTTGGACGTGGTTGACGTGTCAGTTACAAGGAGCAATTGTGCAAATGTGTCGGTTACCATTTTTGGGATGAGATGTGCGATAAGCGTCAAATGCTAGTACGAGCTCCTGGAATGGAGATGAGCATGGGAATGAGTCCTTGCAGCTGCAGAGGCAGAGGGATATGGAGATGAAAATGGGGATGGATATGGAGCTAGCTATAAAGATGGAGATTGAGATAAAGACGCGAAACGTATGTACGTTCATTGGCCAAGCCAATCAGGCTAAATTGTGCCTGATGTGCTGAGAATTAGTTAGTGCTCCTGTTGACTTATTGGCTTTTAGTTCAGGAATTTTCAAAATTAGGTTAAAGTCTAAAAGAAAACCAAAAATACACAAGGAGCAAGCTGCTATTCAATCCTTTAACAACTGAAATCATGTAGAATTAGTTTATTAATTTTAATATTTTTTAAATTATTCGCTAACAAATATATGCCATTTTCTGCTCTGTAAAAACTAGTTCCCTATTCATTAAGCCTTTTTAGAGAATAAAAAATTCCCTCTCAACTTAAACTCTGATGTCAATGGACACCACTCTCCCCTGAGAGCCGTATATGTCCCATCCTTGTAGGTGCAGCTTGCAGAAACCCCCATTTGAAGGACCCTTTGCTAAAAGGTTATGTCGGTGTAAGTGGAAGTTTAACTAACATTCAGAGCTCCTGGAGAGTGGCAATTACTGCTACCCACTTACCTTTGAGCTCTGTGCCTGGGCTCAGCTTAAATCCAAATGAGTCAGTCCCTGCCGGAGATCAGCCTTTGTAATAAGTAGTTTGGCTTTTATTTCTTTCCCATCAGCATAAGTCCTTGGGCTCTCAGCGGGATGAAGTCATTAAATTAAGTCACTTCAAGTGCGTATACTTAATTTTTTGTCATGCAGCGCTTTTACTGCAAATGTACAATATAAAAAGTAAAAAAAAAAAAACGAATAGAAACGTAATGGCACCGCATGATATTACAATTTGAGCCACAAAGTAAACACACATCACAAAGGACCTGGCCACTACACACACAGAGAGAGAGAGGCCTACGAATCTGGATGAGGATACTGTTTCATAGCCCACCGACATTCCACATCCGCACTACAATTCGTAGCCACTTCCGTTTCCACCGGGCATATGAGCAGCAGCTCTGCCGTGTTTTATGTTTTATGTTGCGCCGCATTTAACAATAAAAACTTGAAACGTTTGCAATGAAATGCGCAAAAGGCTGTAATAAAGCGAGCAAACAAGCTACCACACAAGCACACAAAGCCGTGGCTAGTGTTTACACTTAAAAAACAGTCTGGGGAATTAGACGTAATACTTAAATTTTCTTTATCAATATCCTTTCTTCAGAAATTCATTGAAATATCTAAAAGATCATAACCAGCCCTATACATTTTATATATTCTGGATTTCTCCATTCTGCACAGCTTTTTCTTTTAGTGCTTTTTCCTTACATACTTTTCCTGCTCTTGGCTAATTGCTGCACTCAAGCACAGCGGAATACAGGTGTGTTTGGCCAACCGAAAGCGAGTCAGACACTATGAGTACTATTCGAATACCGGGGGAAATGCAGTTTTGCGGTCAATGTTTAAGCCAATGACCATTAGCGTGTAGATGTCGGCACTTAAACCGGATGGGCAAACTGTTGGCAGCAGCTCGGGCAGAAAACTCTCCATGATCGAGACAATGAAATACATTTTGCGGCATTAATTGCCCCAAAAAACGACATGAAAAGCAACTTGAGCAATTCACACGAAGTTAAATTAATTGTGTCACACACATTCGAGGGTTTATGCGGGGTGTAAACTAGATGTTAAAAATAGTATTGTAATTTGATCTTACTATTTATAATATTTAACATATCAAATATATTTTAAGAAGTTTGTTTTTCAATTTTAATAAGAAGTAAAATTGTATAAGAAATTAAAAAGCAACTTTTAAAATAAAATATAAATTAAAGACTAATTTAAATATCATGGAACTCTTACACGAAACCAGAATATAATTTATTTAAATATATATAATAGAGTGTATATATATTTAGCGAATTCGTAACCTACTTAACGTGCAACCCCCACTCGATGTGCCCCCGAAAAAGGAACCTCAGCACATTTTGCTCTCTCTCTCTGCTCAACGAGGCCTGAAATTAATTGAGAGTGCCATCATAAACATGCCAAACGAGCAAATTTTAATTAATTCCCCAATTGCAGGACTCGACCACCCCTAGACGAAGGCATTTGTATACGATTACGGATAGGAATTCATTATGTCGCCTGCCATGTATCTTGTATTTTGTGTGTGATTTGTGACAGCTCCTTGTTGGCCCAGCCTGCATAGGAGTTAATCAATGGTGGAGCAGGACCAGGACGAAGACCAGACGCTGCAATGTGATATGGCCCAGTGAATTGGCCCAAATTAGCAGTGAGGAAAGCGAGAAAAGCGGATAATGCGAACCATAAGTTATGCTTAACTATTCGTCTCTTGAAACTCTCTGGATCTCTGTATCCCAGATCCGTGTGTCTGTTCTTGTAATTTTCTCGGAACTAATTGCTTTGAAAACTGCAAAGATGCCACTTGACACAGTACTTGGCGCGGTAACTCTTTTTTTTTCACCCGAAACCCACCCCGAAGCAAAAGCAAAAGCAGAAGCAGAAACTGCAACTACTCGTTGCCATTGCCATTGCAAACGTGGCTAAATTAAATGGCTGACAAAGTGAGCAGCATCAGCATCAGCCCGCATCCCGCTAGGACCACAGTTTTCTTTTATATTTTGTCACCAATTGCCACCGGCAGCAGCACATCGAGAGAGAAACTGTGCTGTGGAAATGAAAGCAAGGACATGGCCAGGACATGGACGCGAAAGTGGAAAGTGGAAAGTGGAAAGTGCCAAATGGCAACTCGAAAGCGTTGAAGGGGCGGGGGAGTGGGCGTTGAAAGTTTGTCATAAATCAGAATATTTTAAAAGTGTTTGCTCTGTGACAGAACAAGAAGGAGGGAGAACAAAAATTGTCAACTGTGGCAGTTATAAGCCAAGATTATGGCTGCGAACTTGTAGCCATGTCGAACAGCGAGCACGAAACTGCCACAAAATGTCTCAGGAAACGAACTTTCAAGACCCTCTCCCAGGGGGGTTAAAAAAACATTGAAATAAAATTATATCAAAATCGGCGATTGATAAAGTTTGCACATAGTGTTCGATTGTTATTGAATGTCAAATATTTGTAAAGAAAAAATAATAAACTAGAGCCTTACTAATTTCTGGCTTTTTAAACGTTCAAAAACTTTTCAAATTGAAATAAATTAAAATTATTTAAAGCCTTATTACATACATATAACAATTTTTTATATTATTATATAATATAAACCATTAATAAACAATATAAAAACAATAAAACAAAAGGTTTTTTGTTAAAAGAAAATACAAATAAAATATATACAAAGAAAACAAGATACAAAACTTTGCGGTTTTAAACCAAATTTTATTCCCAAATCCAGAAGTTCGCAGAATCCACTTGGGGTTATCCAACAAATTGGTCAATTAATTGTCTATAACAAATCACTAAACCATAAAATAACTATACAGGAAAATGTAAATATATTTTACTAGAGAAAACCGAAATTAAAATTCCTAGAAATACTTAAAACAGAAATTCTGGTGAAACTGTGATGAAAGTTACAAGGTTACAGCTGCCACTCTGAAAGGAAATATGGGTAAAATTAATAATAAAATCAACGAATTTGAATTACCAGGAATTTACACATTCTCCTGAAAAATATAACTGATATTTGTATATTTATTTTATTTATCAATTTCAAAAATATACCTCAATTATGCACCTTTATTAAAGCCCAATTAAAATAAATTGAGAGAGTATATATAAACCCTTTTCTTTTTAAATTTTTAAATATTCAAACTTTTAGGTTGAGTGGAATTCATCATTATGCTCATCAACGCTCCTTGCTGAGTGCACCTAATGCGTTCAAGCTAGATGACTCGCTGCTCCCCCAAAGTCGCTAACGGGCAAATACCAATTTAAATTCAAATTGAGACTCCAACTTGAAGTTGGAATGACAGCGAATGGTCAGTGATTTGCATTCGGCAAATGACTGACTATAGCTATGGCTGGGACTATGACTAAGCTCCGGACACTGATCTAATCGACTTGGCCGGATAGTTTTCGATAACTTGTCAGGCGACAGAAGCCGGTGACAAGTCGTCGTGCTCTCTCTCTCTCACAAAACAAACCAAATAGACAAGCAAAACTTTGATTGACATTTCAATTAAATTATAGCCAAACTCGTTGCCAAGATGTTTCGTCTGCAGAAAGTCCTGATGGCCGAGTACGAGGAGATCTACGAGCCGCTGCTGGTGGAGAATCCCAATGTTTTGGTGGATTTCCATGGCATTGGTCTGCGCCAGTACCAGATGGGCCTTACCTGCAATCATTTGCTGTTTGGCTGTGACAAATTTGTAAAGGCCTCCACCAAGCTGTCTTGGCTTCTGCCCAAGGGTTTGGACCATGAGATCGAGTCCTTTGAGCTGTCCTGCATCTTGCCGCTGCAGTTTCTTCGCTTTCACTTTTACCGCAAAGGCAATCGCTATCTAATGAATGTCAATGCCATCCAGCCATCGGGTCAGTGTGTGTTGACCAGGGAGCAGCCCATGATCTTTGAGTTTGGAGGACATCGTTATAAGCAGCACTACTGGCACACCTGGCGCGAGCATGTGGCCTCCATTCGGGCTTTGCAGTCGCGTTACAATCTGATTACCGGTGCCTCGCCCTTCTCCAGCACCGATGTCCAGCTGGAGGATGAGATCATAACGATGGCCCAGGTGCATCGACAGCCGTCTCTCTGCATCTCCGCCTGTCGCCTGGGTATTTGAGTTCAATAAGAGGCTTTCCTCAGTTCTCAAGTTTCTAAGTATTTTCCATTAACAGATTGAATCCTAAGTTTCGGTTGGGCTTGATTTTGGGTCAGCCGTCTGTTTATTTATTTATATTAAAAGCTTATTGCTTGTTTCACCTAAGAGGTAGTTATTTTTAGTAGGGAAAACGGGTCTAGAAATGTCTGGAAAACAGAGAAAATATATTTTTGAGATACTCTTCTAAGTGAAATAATTGTAAAAAGAATTATTAGTTACTTAGGTCTTGGAAAATTAAAACCTTTGAAACCTAATTAAAGGGTGATAACAATTAGCAGAATTATTCTAAAGAGAGAACATTATGTAGGAGCCCTGCCTTAGTATTTCCCTTCTCAATTCCTATACAGATTTCCCTCTGATTCCTTATATTCTCCAAACCCAACTCGCTTGGTTAATGCAATCAGCAAAACAGCCAGAAAATCAGCCACAACTGGCGAACCCAGGCCTTCTGGTTTCGGCGGCTTGTTCATCGTTCTGTTTATTTGTAGGAATGGTTGGGGGAATGACGACGAAGGAATGTGGTATTGATGTGCCCGGGTTTTTGGCTATTTGTTGGGCCCTCCAAGCAGAGCCACCATGCTCCATGCTCCTTCTCCTTTATTTCCGCAGGCAAGTTAACCAACAAAGTTTTCAATTTGCCGACAAACTTAAGCCGCAACCACAGCATTTGTCGGGAAAGTCAAGGGGCGAGTCTGGGAGGGGGAGCCAGGCTTTAGCTTGGACATGTCTGTCTCCGGGTGAGCGTGCAGCTGACACCAAAAATCAATTGCAATGAAATGCTGGGCAAATAAAAACACAAGAAAAATATATAAAAAAAAAAACAAGCAGAAGCCGAAAAACAACAACAAGTCCTTGTCATTGGCCGTATTTGGTTTAGGGCATTTAATGGTCAAAGTTTTTCAACTTGTCTGTAATTTATTTGATTTGCTTTGGCTCGACGTCTCGCTGCTTTTGATAAATTACAATTTATTTAATGAAATGTTCACAGAGAGAGCATGGCATTAATCATACGCCATGTGGTGCGGCCAAACAAATAGAGAAATTTAAAATTTCATCGCTTTTAAAGCCCTGGTGTCCTCTGCCTCTAAGCTCTGCCATAAAATCCCTTTTCGCCAAAGTTAATTAAAAGCGAAAAGTCAATAAAAAACACAGCCGCACACTCTCTCTTTTTTTTTTTTGCATTTTTATTAATTTTTAATACACCTGCTTGCTCTGGCAATTAAGCGCGGACCTGTTCAATTTCATTTAATTAGCCATAAAGGCGCTTAAAAAGGGTGGCGGCTGCTTGTCGCCACTGTTTGCTGCCTCGGGGCAATGTGGTATCTGTATATATTTTGTATATATATATATGTATAAAATTGAAATAGCTGGCTTTAAGGACTCGCCTGCATTCTAGACATTCCCGCTTTGTTATTTCGCTTCTTTTTTTTTCATTTTATATATTTTATTTGCTTGCGGAATGGAGTTCAAAGCATCTAAGCAGCCACATCAAAGCCTCCTGCGTAATTGCTTCTGAAAAATTTGAATTTTGAACCATGAACGGCTGGCGGCGCCTGCAATTGGCCGACGGAAAAATTTCATTTAAAGCACACTCGCCTACAACGCCTACGAAATTTATTGACAGCATCGATAAGTAGATGACACACACTTAGCACAGGCCATCAGTGCGTATACGTAATGTGGGTGGATGTGTGGAGGGAGATGGGACCGAGACTGTGATGTCTATGGGGAAAATGGTGGGAAAATGGTTTTTTAAATATTATTAATAGGATTTTTAGACAAAGAAAGAGGCAATTATACATACAAAGACTTCTTTTTTAATGGATTTATGATATTTTTAATGTTAAGTATATAATTTTAGATTTTTAGGAACTTAAATTTTATTTTTTATATTATATTTTATATATTCTATATTTTTAAATATATTCATTTTCTATTTCTAAATTATTCTCAGTAAACGTTTAATTATTCTACCCTTTTATTTAAAACTCAAAATTCTTCTTTTAAATATAACAAACTGTCAGCACTGTTGGCTATTTCAAAAGTGGTTGTCTGTGGACCGAATTTCATTAGCACAGTACACAACACAACACACAGTACACAACACCCAGTACACAACACACGGCAACACACATTCACACCATCACTTGCACACATTTGACATTTTCGGAGGCTTTAAGCGATGCGTTTAAGGCGGTATTAAAGGCCGATCCAGACCTGATGTGCAGCTTAAGCTGACAGTGATGAATGAGTTTCATATTTATTGAATTCCAACGTTTACGGAGACAGGATACCTCTCCACATTTGTCGACATATATGCAAATTTTCATGAGCTTAATGGCTAAAAGTTGATTGCCAGGAATAACTTTGCATAAATCGAAAAAATATATGTATATATATATATATCTAGCGGAGATTTGTAAAAGAAAAGTTGAGATTTAAAAGGCCCAAGCTAGTTGGTTTGATTAATCAAATTTATGACTAAAAATCACTTGGGCAGAAAATTGCAAAGCTTTAGGTGAATTTAAATTTTAAACAGACCAAGAGAGACTTTATTTTTCTTTAAGAGTAGGCCATTTTCACCATATTTACAAAACCCCCTTTCTTAAACCCTCTCCCCGGCTTAGTCATTGGAAAAAGTGAATTACCTGACGCCCTGGACTCGAATTGAAAACCAGTTTTTTCCGCTACCTTCGCACATGCGGTGTCTCGGACTAATTGAATTTGATTTTTACCCCCATTGCCGGTGCTGGGTTCAACTTTTAAACGAATCGAGACGTGCCGGGCATGCCCAAGGAGTGGACCAGTGACCGCAGAAGAGCTGCAAACCGACCCGGCTCTGACCCCTGACTGCCGGCGGCTGGTGGCGGCTGCCCCATTGTTTGCTTGCCGCCCAGAGGCTTTCATGTGGTTGCAATAGCAAGGAGCAGGAAGCGGGGTGCTAGGAGCCAGGAGCAGGGAGCTAGGAGCAGGGTGCAGAGAGCTGGTAGCTAGTAGCTCAGAGGCCTGATGCCTGAAGCGTGGGAACAAACAGAAAGTGTGCGGCAGGAACTTATTAAGCAAACAGTTTGTCGCAGGCCTCAAGTGCCACCGCGGGTCGCATGAAAAATCGCATGCAGCCCCCATAGCTATAGCCTAGATGCTAGTATTTGCCTTTGTGTGGAGTGCAAGAGGGACTCCAACACTTGGAAAATGCTTAAACAACTTTTATTTTCCAAGTTTTTCTTTAATAAAAATTTTAAAAAAATATGGATCAATTTTTTATAAACTTTATAGAGAAAAACTTTGAAAAGAAAAGAACTTCAAGCTAGAATTGATTTTTAACAAACATATTTATGGGAAAATATGTTTCATTTTACGCTTTAAAAGAATACATTAACACGGTACTACAAAAAAATTATTTTAATTAATTATTAATATAAAAGATTTAAGAAAACTGTTTTTTTTTTAATGTTCTTTAAAAATTGTTCAGTTTTCCTTTAATTTTCCAAGTGCAGCAAGTAAGTGAAAGCTGTTAATGTTTATGGCTGAGCTGACAGGAGATCGTCCTATCTTTGTTCTCTTCTCTCCACAAAACACACACACACACAGACAACCAGGTGCCCGCACACCGACACATGCATCAAATTTATTGCATACTTTGCAGGGCGTGCATTAGCGTGGCAACTCGTCACGTCACGGATTCTCTTGCAGAACAAAAAGCCCTCGCTTTTCCAGTGTACAAAAAAAGAAGAGTAGAGAAAAGAAAGCAGAGGGAAAGCGGAGAAAGCCGAGAGAAGCCCAGCGAGAACGTGACTTGGCGCTGGCATTGTGCCCCTGATGATAATAATGATGATGATGGTACTCCTCGTGATGCTGATGGCCACACATCAAGCCAAATGGCTGAATCATTAAAATTTAACCAAAAAGAGAGAAAACGGGGTCAAAAGAGTTAAAAGATATCATTGGGATAAACTGGGAACTCAATCAAATTCATTTAAAAGTTTATTGATTTCTAAATGGATTATTGAAAAAGAAATAGAAAAGAAAATAAATGAATTAATTAGACTTATCCTTTTGAACAATGCCTTTACCTCTTTTAAACTTTAAGCTGCAAAGAAATCATTGAAATACAATTTTCAAATTTCACTCTTTGCTTAAGATTTTTAAAGGATTATCTTCCATTTCTGCACTTTTAAGCAAACAGCTGCAGCTGCCCATCCTTTGCTTAAATCTCTGTCGATTGTGTGCGATTGATTACCAAACTGTCTGCCAAAAGTTGGCAAGGATTCAACTTTACCTTCTGCCTGATCTCAGGCACATTTTACACATAATCGTCTAATGGCCAGAAACAATTAGCCCAATTGGTATTGGGGCCTAAACCAAGAATTTCCAGCTTAAGCAACGCCAACGTTTTGGGGCGAAGCAATGAATTTGCATTCATCGAGCAACTTGGAACGCATTTAATTGCCTGCAACTGGACCGAAAATTGGCCAAGTTGAAAATCGCATCGCAACGCAATCGCAATAGCCATGCAAAATCTCTGTGGGAAAATGAGAAGCCGCAACCCCCCGAAAGGAAGCCCTTCCTCTTGGGGAAAACGTAAACAAAAACCCAGTGCAAATGGTCGACTGTTAAGAGGCTATTAAAATGCAAAACTTTAGGCCATGGGTTCACTTCGAAGCTCGATGCAAAGCTTCGGCCAGTTTCCGGTCCACTGATCACACACACGCACAGGCACTCCCGGTGCAGGTCCAGGTCCAAGTCCAAGATAAACTGCAAACAAATAGAGAGGGCATCCTGGTCGTCCTTGCAGCCACATGTTGGTATTTTCGTTTCCCAGAATTGCATCCACTCGACACATACACCCGGACAGTGGCTGTCGCCCATTAAACGCCCACCAAACCGGCTTCCTTGGGCGCCTCATCCAATCCCCCAAACAGAGGCAAACATCTGCCACATGCGGGTGAGTGAGTGGTTGACCCCCCCG